AATTTAGCGCACTACATGGATAGCTGGCAACACCCATTGTAATTGGTAGTTAAAACGATGCCTGCCCAGCATTTGACGCTCCATTTAACACACACATGCCCCCTATCAGAGATATATGTACAAAGTTGTAGCTTCACTTTTCACTTTCCCTATATTTTGCGATAAATGCGTTATCATCTTTTTGCTATTTTATTTTATTTTTTTTTTCTCGTCTATTTTGTGCGCTACGCATATGCGAAAATTTCACGAAAAGCGCTGGATAAATGAGTGAATGGAATGCCGCCAGGCGCCGTCGCATGCAACAATTTACTTTCATTTGCCGTAAAGGGGAGGGGGAATGTGTGCACTTGCGACAGCTACTTGTCTTTTTTTTTTGCCATATACTGGTGCTGCGGGCGCCTTATCACTTTTTAATTGTCGCCAACTGTCGCGTTGCATGCCGCACGGCCGGCGGCGCCACAAAACTGGAGCATAGAAAACTAATTGTGTGCTCTATTTTACATAATGCCTACAACGACAACTGCCAGAAACCAAGACTCATAGCTGCGGGCGTTTTTCTTTTGTGGTGTGTGAAAATGCCACCAAGTTCGTTGCCTAAGTCATTTGTTAGCTCAAGTTTGTTGCCTAAGTCTTTCTTCTCTTTTTTTTTTGGAAAAAAAATCATTTATATGGTATTAAACGAACTTACCAGACAGATTGCATAAGTCCTTCTAATAAAGTTTAACAAGCTATAGCTAAAAGTAATTTGAGTAATTTGAAAACTATTTTTGAGCATTTAACTTAAGACCTTTATCAATTGTGTTGGCCAGGCTAAGAGTCGCATTAAAATAAATTGAAATCGAAACTGGCCCAGTTTGACACACTGCGGCAGCGAAATACCTTTGGGCATACAAACACGTTTCTCGAGCCGCGAACAAATCATCTGTCAGATCTAACAAAAAAAGTTACTTAATAACTATAAACAAAATACAAAGAAAAAAATAGTGAACTGAGGCACATACCACAAAATGAAATGAAACGTAAATTGCCCCTTCACTGCCAGCTACAACAGCAACAACAACAAAAACATGTAAACCTTGGCGGTTAACCATTTTTTTTGCGCTTTTGCTGTTTGCTTTTCTTTGCCGTTAACAATTTCACTTTCACAGCATCCGACTTGGCGGCTGCCGATTCGATATAGATATAGATAGAGATAGGTATATATATATATAAAGGAGACATTTGTTAGTCAGTTAATTACGCATGCTACCAATTTCTATGCCACAATGCGCCAAATAATATCGATCATTTACAGCAGCAACAACAAATTGTTGTTGTTGCAGGCACCGTTACATTTTCAAGGCGGCAACAACCGCAACTTAACACACAGCATCTGCAAGACAGTGAAACTTTTACCCGCAAAGCGACAACAGCAACAGCAACAACAACAACCACATCAAAGTGGCAATCGAAGTGGTAAACAAAAACATTCCAACACATAAAAACCCACAAAGAGTCCCAAAAAACTCTTTTTCAAGTTCTGTTTGTCTATTTTTCCATATTTTTTTTTTTGACATGCTAAGCAAAAGCCCATTGTTTGCATAGCTTTGGAGTTTTCGAATCTTGGATTTTGGGTTTGGTCGCCACTCTCATCTCGTCTCATCTCTCATACGCAAAAATTTGTCAGCTATGCTATTTGATGTTGTCCATCATTTGGCTTGTTCAATTAAGCAAACGTTTTGATACTCCTCCCCCTGCCAGCCTCCATATCTTTATTAGCCACACAATTTTGTGTCGCTCGAGGCGCTGCCAAAAAGTGTTGTCTATTTGCTTTTGGGGCGGTGGATTTGTGAAAGCGTACAATTATATTAATGGAACTAACCAAGCAGCTGTCAGCCACTAAGTCAACCGTTGCCATATAAAAAGTTTAATTTAATGCAACATTAAATGCATTTTATTAATGCTTGTAAAGCGGCTTAATTGACAGCAAGGATTTGGACAAGGATTTCAGCGGGGGAGCTTAATTAATAAATCTGTGATTTGACAGATTTTTGGCTTAGCTATGACTAAGAATAGAAAGAGAGAGATTTTTATTCATGAAACTTTAGCTTTGACTATAAGAAAAATGAAGCCATATGTAAAATCAGCTGAACTCGAATTATGTTTATTATTTACTTTTTCTTAGTCTTTGATAGACTTGTTTGATTAGTATTCAGCTATATATAATTTGATTTTATTTGTTGATAAACCAAAACCAAGATTTGTCTTCGATAATTTACTTTCTTTTCAATAGAATGCAACTCGTTCTCTTTAATTAGTGAGCTTCCACAGCAGCTAAAGTATAATTAGTAGATGAGCTCAAGGCTACTATTTGACAATGATTTCTTGTGGCTGCCACTTGTGTCACATGGCATGCGATTTTCATTTGGCAGAATAGACAGTCATTCAATTCAATATCCGGCTCATCTAGCCCAAACTGTCGGTCATCAGAGCAACAACGTAAATTATCCAGAATTAGAACAAACTGAGCGCTAGAGTTAACTGTACGAGTGTGTTTGTGTGTGTGTGTGTCACTGCGGTGGAGCACAGTGGTTCACCTAGTTTCCGACAACGACCAGTGCAAGGAGACAGCAGCCGTCAGCCGCCGCTTCGATTGTCATTTCAATCAATGGACGAACGGACGATGTGCTGCTCCCGCTCCAAAAGCAAACAAACAACCCACAAACAAGCTAATAACAAACAACCGCAGCAGCAACAGCAGCAGCAACAACAAGAACAGCGAAGACAACAACTTTTCATTGCATTTTCACTTGCTGGCACTTTTCACATTATTTAATGTTTGCCAGCAACAAATTTGTGAGCTGAGAATAAATCGTACAACAAAAGAGCTGGAAATAGCTGGCAGCTCTCTCGCCGAGTTTTTGTAAGCTAATTAGGCACGAGGCAGGAAGGCCTGAAAACAAAAGTTGCACGTTCGCACCTTAAGTCTTTTGTTTTGTTTTGGTTGCAGCGTCAGCGTCAGCTTCGGCTTCGAAATTCTGCTTGACGGGCAAAGCGATAACGATAACGATATGTAGAAATGCCAGTAAACAGTAATTTGATTGTGTTAATTAAAAAAGAAAACAAAAGCCAAGCTGCTGCAACAACTTGAACAACTTGAACAACAACAACGACAACGACAAACATCAGTTATGCCCTTATATGAGAAAGAGATGCCAGACGAAAGCTCACTGGGAGTTGAGCGCATGGCAAACGGGCAACTTTCACTTGCCTTATGCCAAAACAGCAACAACCACAGGCAACAATAAGCAGCAGTTACACATAACTACAAGCATCAAGTATCAGCCATAACAATGCGCATTAAGATGAGGCAGCCTCATCAGCTGGAAGCCAACCCTCTGAAGCTCTAGATGCTTAAGACTTTTAACAGCGCTAGAAATTTGCATACTCTAACAGCGGGTGCTATAAGTGTACTCATAAAGTTTGTAAAATAGGTTTATCATCACTCCTAAAATTTCCCATAAATTTATATGATTTTTTATATTTTTATTTATTTATTTAATGTGTACTAAAAGCCGTTCACATTTATCAAAAGTTTTTTAACTCAAAAAATTAAAAAGAAAGTTACAAATTGAATGATTTAAAATTGAAAGTGCTTAACTAAATTTCATTTTAAAATTGAAAAATAATAAATCAAAGGATGTATGGGTATTAAAGAGTTTCTTATTAATATTATTTAACAACTTAAGAGTTATATTTTACATGCAAATTTTAGTAAGAGGTCATTATCATACAATCTAGCAATGGATTTTACTGATAAAGCAGCAGTTAAATATATATAAACAATATATTTTTCGCTGGTATTCCCGGTAAATCAGGAGGTGATTACAAATATGTCGGCATCTCTAAAAATAACAAAATTTACCTGTAAATTAAAAAACGAAATGAAATATTTAGATTCTAAAGCCCAATCACAAATTTCATCATATGGTCAAAGTAGATTTCCAGGATTTTCACGTTGACATTATTATTAATAACGCAAACTCAGATTCCCAAAAGTGTATCCAAATTCGTTGTGTCTTCTACCCAGATATCTGCTCTAATGTTACGAATAAAGAAACGATTTGATAAGGCATCTCTCAGATGGGCAGCAATTAGCTAAAAACAAAAATTTCGCTGCTTGTTAATTGCCAAGTTTGTGTCTTAAGTCTTTTGCTATGCAAATGGCAGATAATTTTGCACGGGTGAAAATAAACGTAGGAAGAAAGTGAAGCAGCAGCAGAAAAAACACCGTTAAACGAGCAGCAGCCCACTCAAGCACACACACACAGACACTGACATAGCACACAGCACAAGTTGCTGGCTCATTCATTGAAGTTCTTTTGGGAACATTGCGTAACGAGCCAAAGACAGTCGGTTGTGCTTAGGGTCAAGCAGGCTGTCGACAGCAGTAAGCAGCAGCAGTCCAGCAGTTGACGCCAACATCGCAGTCAGCAGCAGCAGCAGCGGCGGCAGCAGCGTCCGTTACTGTCTCAGTGGGTTAATGGTACACTTGCTCAATGCTGTTGGAGGCTCGCAGCCGGTTTGCGTCGATTTATGGCCAAAGCTTGTTAAAAACCTATTTACATGAGGTGTGCTCTTTCTCTCCCTCTCTCTCTCTTTCTCTCTCTCTCTCTCTCGCTTTAGCTACTCGATGTTGTTGTTGGCGGTGCTATATGATGGGTCGCTGTTACCATCTGTAAAAGTAAAACTGCCCGCTACAACATTCACCAAAGGCAGCCCAAAACAAAAAATAAAAGAAGAAAAAAAAACACTCAACACTCAGTCAAGTGAAATGCGACACAGACGCCGTTTACTTTTTTTATGCTACAGCAACAGCAACAGCAGCAGCAGCAGCAGCTTCACTTGGGGAGCTCGTGTGAAAGCTGCGCTCAGTCAGTCAGTCGCCGCCTCAGCCTCAGTCTCATTCGGCAAGCAGACGAAGACGGCAGGCGCAACGGCAACGTCTCCAATTCGAAGTCGAAGTCGATGCGCGTCACGTGAAATGTTTTGCGAATGTTAACGCAATGTTAATGTTATGCTAGGCCGAACTGTAAAGTAAGCACAAACGGAATACGAAAAACAGACACAACAAATACAAATTAATGGAGACCATAAAGTACGGTGCTGCCACTGTGAAGAAAACTTGCAACTGCGTTGGCGTTTTGACTGCTTGTTGTTGTTGCTGTTCTTGTTGGTGGTGTTGTTGTTGTTGATGCTGTTGTTGTTGCCGTTATTGTTGTTGCTGTTGAGTGCAGCTCCTCGTTGTACTGTTATAGTGAAAATAGAAAGTGGTTCCTGTTTGTTGAGCGCGAGTTTTCATTTGCTTTACATAAAATGCAGTTTCGGTGCCTCGAAATTTGTGTGTGTGTGTGAGTGTGTGTGTGTATGTGTTTATAGTGACATTTAAGTAGCCATCAAACTAAAACGAAACATTTTACCAATTTAAATGTTTGCAATTTATTACACATGCAAAATATAAACATTTGAAAAAAATGTTATAGAATATTTCAAAGTTAATTTTAAATCAAATTAAGTAATCCGAAGGCAGGGTCATTGTAATGTAATCATAACAGTGTAATATATTTTACATCCTCTTATCATGTTAGTGCTAAATGTTATGCTTAGTCTGCATATTAAGATCAACGGCCTATGCAAAACTTTAACCGTTTGACTGACTGCATTGTTTACCCCTGTGCCCCTTTCTTTTCTGCTATTTACAGAGAGCGCGAGAGAGAGGTAGAGAGAAAGAGAGACGCCAAAAGATCAACAAACCCGAGAAGAAAGCAGCGACGAAACAGCTAAGGCCAAAAACAGAAAAAAAAAACTATTTACTGGTGTATAAGGCGCCAATTCAACAGACATCGGCCAAATTTATATAGATATATAAAATGGGACACTATACGCGACACAGTTGCCTGTTGGCCCTAGTTTTGTGCCTGGTATTCAACACACAGGTGAGTTCAACACACACATACATACATACATAAATCAAATAAGAAAGTGTTGAAGATGAATGCTGATTGAATTTGAGACCATTTCAATTAGGAATCACGAAAAGCCAAACGCCAAACTAAATACAGTTAGTTGTGGCCCACTTCAGAGTTGACAACATTTCGTATGGCAACTAACCAAACTATAGCTTATAGCGGATTTGATCACTTTCGACGCGATGCGTCGCGATTCAATCGATTACCGTTTATCGATACAATAACGAAATCAATTCGAATGCAAATCACTTGCGGCGAGTGTCCATTGTCCGCCGTATTGCCATATTGATGGCTTGATCGGACACATCACATGCAGATGAGCTATGTGCGAGGCTAGCGGTATCAACTCAACTCAGATCAATATGCGAGCCGAATCAAAGCAATCCGATCTGCAGAGGCGGATGCGTAGCCAAAGCAAAAGAGCAAAAAAATAAAAATGAAGAAAAAAATATAAGTGCAGTAAGTGAGCTGCAGCCGCATTAAACGGCACTTTGCTGATCAATGTAATTAGAAGACGGCTAATGCTGACAGCTGCAGAGAGAAAGAGAAAGAGTGCGAGAGAGAGAAAGAGAAGGAACTTGAACTTGAGCTTAACAGTGCCGCTGTTAGACGTTTAACAGCTAAACGAAAGGTCGTCTGACAACTGTAATTGTGAATGAAAATTTGTGTTAATTTTTTCGCCATTTCCATTCGAAATGTTAAGCAAGACAATAACATTGTGCTCAACAGTGACACTTTTAGCAACTTAACAGCTTGCAAAATGTTAACTAAACGAGAGGTCGTCAATCAAAAGTACATTCGTTAGGTCGTCAATCAAATACCCATAATTTTTAATGCTTTTTTTTTTTACCTTTAACAAACTTTCATTTGAAATGTTAAGCTCCAATGAGCTAATCAAATTGAGCTTAAGAAAATGTTACAAAAATGGAAAGGTCGTCAATCAAAATAACAAAAGAGCATAGATTTTGAAGTTTTCAAGTTTCAATTGAATTTTAAATTGTGCTTAACAGGGACGCTGTCAGGCAGCTAAAAACTTATTGCATTTTAGCAAAATAAAAGCACATCAATCAAAATTACGAATAACATTGATTTTCTAATGGATTTAATTAAAATATAAGTGTGAAGCCTACTTAAGCTGCATCAATCAAGCAGCGAAAGAGATGGAGATAGAGGGAGAGTGGGAGAGAGAGAGAGGCTGCTCGTAAAAGCGAGATGCAATCGCATCACGGAAAAAGCGCCAAGCGCAAAGCGCAAAGCTAACTGGCCAACTGCAAATGGCGCTTAAAGCTGCCACAGCGGCAGCTGCGTGTCTGCCGCATTGGGGCAGCGAAAATGCAGTTATGCTCTGATTTGTACCAGTTTTGACTTTCTTGTTTATAGCGCATTAATACATTCAGATTGCTATATTATTTATTTATAGTCAGGTTTTCTTCATCTGCTTCAAGTGAAATGCATCAGCGCCCAGACTGCAATACAAGTGCCACCAACCAATCCATCTCAATCAAACAGAAAATACGTTTTGGGGCTGATCATAATATATGCAAAGCTACTTTTGTCACTGTCTCTTTTTCATGTTCAGCTTACTGGTAATTTCAGCCAGAATAAACTTTTTGTCGTATATGCTGATATACGAGAGCACGACTCTTCTTTGTTAGCGTCTCTTTTCGTGTTTATCTTTTTGGTCATTTCACTTTCAAAACCAACACACGACATCTCACGGGTAACAACAAAAGATTCCCGAAAGATATAAAAAAAAACTTAAGCGTCATTGTGAACTTTCGATTTTCGTTGACTTGAGATACATACGACATACATATTTATACATATATATATATGTATATATATTTACATACATATATATTTCTTTATACAGCGTTACATCCGCTTCCCGTGCACGACAACAACAAGAGCCAAAAAGCCATCAAATTATGAGCCAGTTGTGAAACGGGATTGAAAAGAAAGCGACGCAACTGACTTCAACGGGTGGCAGCATAAGAGACAGACAGAGGGAGACAAAGAGAGTGTGTGTGAGAGAGAGAGGGGTGCGGGATAGGGTTGGGTATATATCTGGGTGTCTTATGCAATGGGCCCTGCTTACAACTTAGGCAAACATGCTTCGCTCCGCCAGCCATTTAATTTCAAAATAAATAATCTGCTGAGTAATTTTCAACGCAACGTCACGCTTCTTCTTCTTCTTCTTTTGAAAATGAAACAAAATAAAAATAAAAACCTTTGCTGACTTTCAATTGCATAAGCCCAGTGCCAAATTAAATGCCAAAATAGTCAACGATGCATATGACTTAAACAATTTTCCGCATGTCTTCCATGTTTTCAGCAAGAGTTAAGTCATTGGATAGTTAAGAGCACTCATCCTTGGCAATAATATCCATGTGTTTCTTGGGCAACATTGTCATAGCTCACAAAATTTTAGCATGTTTTACAATTTGCAATATTTCACCAGGTATTTTCAAAGATAAAACAAGAAATAAAAGCTTTCTTAATCACGACAAACATGCACTTGTAGATCGGAAATTGCGGTCATTGTCTAAGAAGTAACTTATCAAGAGAGGATTTCAAATCAGTTCATTACCACTTAAAATATTTATGGTTTTCTGGAGTTACTAATAAATCTGTTGCCTGTGTACTTGCAGCATCTTTCGGTGCACGGCGATGCCTCACACATTGAATCGGCTGCGTTGCCACTGGAACACAGAGCTGGCTATGGACCGCCAGCGCAATCACCGATTTATGGGGCACCACAGGGTCCGCTGAGCACTGGCGCCACGAACGGACTGTCCGAGGAGGCCTGGCCACTGGCCAGCACCAATGACAGTCCACAGATTAAGCATCTGCAGGTGCAGTGCGAGAAGACGCACATGCGGGTCAACATTGAGTTCGATCGTCCCTTCTACGGCATGATCTTCTCCAAGGGCTTCTACAGCGAATCCCATTGTGTGCACATGCAGCCGGGCACTGGCCATCTGAGTGCCACCTTTGAGATCTTCCTGAACAGTTGCGGCATGAGCAGCTCGGCCAACCACAATGCGGCGGGCTATGGAGCACCTACGCCATCGGGCAGCTATGTGGAGAACACGATCATCATCCAATACGATCCCTATGTGCAGGAGGTTTGGGATCAGGCACGCAAACTACGCTGCACCTGGTACGATTTCTATGAGAAGGCCGTCACCTTCAGACCTTTCCAGGTGGACATGTTGCATGCGGTTACGGCCAATTTCCTCGGCGATAATCTCCAGTGCTGGATGCAAATCCAGGTCGGCAAGGGTCCCTGGGCATCGGAGGTCTCGGGCATTGTGAAGATCGGACAAACGATGACGATGGTGTTGGCGATCAAGGATGATGAGAATAAATTCGATATGCTGGTGCGCAATTGTGTTGCCCACGATGGCAAGCGTGCTCCCATTCAGCTGGTGGATCAGAACGGTTGCGTTGTCCGGCCCAAGATCATGAGCAAATTCCAGAAGATCAAGAACTTTGGACCATCCGCTTCGGTCGTTAGTTTCGCTTACTTCCAGGCCTTCAAGTTCCCCGACTCGATGAATGTGCACTTCCAGTGCGTGATCCAAGTGTGTCGCTACAACTGTCCCGAACCCAAGTGCGGACCTGGACTGCCTGGCGGTGAATACGGATTGCCCCAGTTGGGTGGCAATGCGCTCTCCGAGGAATATGGACCACCCGAGGCCTATGAGAGGAATGACTTTGCTCTTGGTGGTCTACCTCCGGCAGCTTATCCCGATCCACGTCATCCAGCTGCCGATGCCAGTGGCGCCTATTCCGAGAATCAACCAGATGTGGTGCCCTCACCCCAGGCCCAGACCTCAGCGGTGACCAGCGCCGAGTCGGCAGCCAGCGGACCGGCCAGCTCACAGGCGCCACAACTCCAGCAGGGTGGCAACAGCAACGAACTGGGTCTGCCGCCACCACCACTGCCCGGACAATCGGGCCAATATAGCACCGTTAAGCGCAAGGATGAGCTGAGCGCTGGCGGCAATCTGGTATCGCTGGGCGGACGGCCACGCTCCGTTGAGGGACTCGATGATTTGAGGGGTGTGCGCCGGCGTCGCGACACCATGGAGATTGTGATGAAGCCACAGCCACAACGCATCTACAAGCGCAACGCCCAGGAGATGACCGACGTGAACACGAGTCGCATCATTCAGGTCGTCGCACCTGGCGATGTCAATTTCGCACTGAACAGCAATGCCAGCAATGAGACGGTTGTCATCCAATCGGCTCGCTCGGCGGATGCGGAAACCATTTGCATGTCTGTGCCCAGTTTTGTGGGTGGTCTCGTCATGCTGCTGCTCGTTCTGGCCGTGGCCTCTCTAGTCGCCGCCTTCCTCTTTGTCCGTGTGCGTCACTTCGATCGCAAGGGTGCGGGCATGTCCTACGTCAACTAAACTACTACCAATCTACTACTCGTACTACACACACACACACACACACACATATATATATATTTATATATATAGAGTGGTATATATCCAACTGCACCATCAGTAAACCAAATCAGTTTTATGTGCACCTGTTCTCCCCAAATCCTAACTTCCTGCCTATCCTTCATTTACTATTTATCTATTTATTTGCTCTTCCCTGCTTCGACTATTTATTGTTTTTGTTTTTATTTGTATCCAAATGGGTCGCCTTGTTCTGCATAATTTCTTTTTAGTTAATAATTGAAAAAAGCGCTCGAAACGAAATAAACGAAAAAAATAATTGTGACGTCATCGTGTTCTCACACTCTCATTTTGTCAGTTTTGTTAAGTTTCAGTTATACATAATTCATTTAAATTAAAAATGCTATCGAAATTACGCGTTTAAATATGTTATCTCGTAAAATGGCACAGCGGCAACAAAAAAAGAAAAAGAAAAAAACAAGCAAAAAAAGATGAAAAATGGAAAAGCTGAAAATCGTTTACAATAAGTTAATATAGCAGATGTATATATTAAATTATTTATTTATTACTTTATCTGATAGCTGCGAAATAATAAAAAGTTTACTTTTATTAAAAATATAAACGGTGCTTTTGTTTGTTTCTTTTTTTCATGGGTGTTCAAAATTGATTACGGAATATTGTTATCTTGGTTGTCACGATGACGTAATGAAATTGTCGACTTTCAACAATTGAATAATGTAATCAAATATAATTATCGATTGTGCAGATAAGATTTAGCCAACTGCATTCTTAGATTCACTATTAACGAATATGAGAACTACATTTTCGAATGGCTCCAAACAAGAAAGATACATCTCAGCAGGGTTCCATCAGGTAGCACCATCAATTCCTAACCACAAGTAAACTTTAAATTTTAAAATTACCATATTCAAATGACGACATTTTCAAATTGTATATTTTATGAAAAATAAAACTGTACGCTGCCTATTTATTTACGAAAACATCAATATTTACATTTATCTTAAAACCCTTTGCTTATGCACTGCACAAAAAACAACTTGCGTACAATTGAAATTGATTTATGTCTGAATCTATAACAGATGTGTGTGTATATATATAGCATGAGCTCGTTGAGTGTCCCGCTTTTCGGGGACATGCAATACAAAAGATTTCATTGGATAATAATCGACTATGCATACGCGTTGACTCTAAGGAATTATTAGCACTCAATTTAGACAAGGTAACAACGGTTTTCTTTCTTTCTTTTTTGGAGCAAGTGCATCTTTTATGCAGCGCGTGCATCGTTTATGGAGGCGGGCACATGCACCTCCAGTCCGTCCAAGTCCTTGCTCAGCGTGATTTGGCAACCTAAGCGGGAGGTATCCGTCAGATCGTAGGCCAGATCCAGCATATCCAGCTCCTCGTCGCCGGGCTTGTCGGGCAGCCGCTCGTAGTCGGCCGTTTTGAAGATCAGATGGCAGGTGGAGCAGGTCAGCGTGCCCTCGCAGGCGCCAAACCCGTCAAGGTCAACATTGTTGTTCACCACAACATCGAGCAGGGAATCGCCCACTTTTCCAGATGCCTTGATTCGCTCGCCATTTGCCCTCACAAAGATCACGCTTACACTGCGACAAACGAATATGTTAGTAATCTCGACATGCGATATATGTTGAATCGACTACTTACAGATCTGGTTGTTGTTGCCTCAGCGCCAGGCCCAGCGAGAAAGTGCGCGTGAAATTTGTTGGTGCAGCATTGAAGTTTGCTAAACTATTTCGAAGCCAATTATTACGCAGCGTAATGCGCGCTGAATTTTTGATTGTGTTGATGACAAGCATATTTCTATTATAGGTTTTATAACCATGTAATCATTTAACTTCTATCTAATCTCTAAATAGACACACGCGACAGACACACCGCGCTCTGCCCCGCCCGATGGCTTATGATTTTAAAATATTATACAAAAACGGCAATTAACAGCGCATGTGTTTAATGAACTGCACTACGCAACAGCTCTCTACAATTAACAATTGAGAAACTGGAAAAGCTGACAGGTGGAGCCAAAGCCATATGGGCAGTGTGGTGCTGCCAGACTGATGCTCTTTTATAGTGCTGCCCAGCAAGATGACGATGAGCCGCGAAACAAAAACTTTTGAACAAACCGACGGCATTGATAACGATGCAAGCTAAATTTATTGGTGTTGTCGGAATTTACTTAGATCTCGACTGTCTTTAATATTGGATGCACAGACACGAATGAGAAATGCATGTATTTATAACTTGAAACAATATTTTCTCAAAATGCAGAAGACAACTGTAAATTGATGCATTCACAATTCAAAGCAGACCGCATATATTAACCCGATCTGGCAGCCTCATGCCGCACAGAGCAATCGAACATATCGATAAATTATTTAACTTGTTTACCTTTTGCAAGAGCATGGCGAGTTCATGTTTTTGGAACGATTTTGAATTAAAAAAGCCACCGCTTGTCACTTTGCATGTTAGCGAAACAAGATTTGGTAAGTTCGATTATGATTCTCAGTTAAAATGATGCCGTAAGTGTTCACTTCCTCCTCCAGCGAAGGATGTGTTTGTGGTCATCAATCGCTATCTGCAACAGTTGTCCTCGCCAAATGGGCAGGAATTCAATCAAACTGCCGCCTTAATTGGGCGTCTGATGGCACGCCGAAAGAACTCCTTCCGCTCCATGCCAGGATTCCGTGCGGTCTGCAAACTAAATGCGACACTCTGTCGGCTGCTGCGACTCGATTTACCTCGTGAATTGGAGCATTTTCGCGGTGCTTTGCCAGATGCCTGCGATGACGAAGTGTCCGGCGAGATGCCCACCCGTAACAGCTTAGAGTTCATCTTAGTGCGGCTGATTGCCTTCCATCGACTGCACGAGCGCATCCACGACTGCTGTGTGGCGGCTGCCAAATACTTTGGTCAAATGCTGCGCAACAATTTCTTCATGGAGATTCTCACACTGCTGATTGCAGCCATCGCAAAAATCAATAAATTGAGTCAACTGCAGGCCAACAGTTGTGCAACGCTGTATGACAAGTTGCTGCCACATCGCTTCAGATTTCCACACGTGGAAAAGCATAATTTTCTGCCCGAGAATTACGAACTGCCAGCGAAACTGCGTCAGATTGAATTAACTCAGCCAGATCAAACCAATGAAGTGATGTCTGCAGCAATCCAACTGCAAGCACCACAGGCACCTCCGCTGGTGACGAAAGTAGAGAAGGCCAAACAGCTGGCCAAAGCGGATGTGGGCACGGTGATTGCACGCCAGACAAAAACAACAAAAGAGATTACATTTCAGCTGGACTCATTGATAACCGTAGAGGATGTTAAACATTTCATTCAGCGCGAATCCAAAGCTCGCAAAGAGACGCCCAACGGCTGCCTGACGAACGCAATACAAAATCACGAATGGCTGGCGGCAAAGACGCTCTTCGAGCGCAAACTCAAGTCAAGGGAGAGCGCAAAAGCTTTGAACATATTTCGCAAATTTATTGGCAGCAAAATATAACAAGAGTAGGATAAATACGGAACATATGCTTATACTTATCACTTACAAATTCACAACGATTCCGTCGGCCAGCTGCATTCGCTTCAGGCCCAGAATTTGCTGCTGTGGGTGCGCATTGTTTGTCTGTAAGAGAAGGATTAATGAGATGGATCGATAAATCTGGCATGGCATCATCTTTTTTAATTTACCTTGATGAACTTTTTAAAGTTCTTGCGGCCAATGTATTTGCTGGCAGTTATATTCGCCGCATCCGTTTCGTCCTGGCTGCGAACACTGATATTCAAGTTGTACATGCGCACTTGTATGCCATTCCTAATGCCTGCTAGCCATTTGTCATGGTTCAGCTTCTCATCATAAGCATCATCATCGAGTTCCACTTTAATATTGGTTGGCTGAGCTGTCTCAGCATTCATTGTATCCGGCTCTGATTTGGGCTCCGGCTTGACATCCACGTGTAGCCCGCTACACGATAGCCAGCCACTGGTATCTATTTTTCGAGGTAGTTCCTTTGGCTTAGGCACTATATACCTTGATTTCGTTTTAGTTTCCGGTCTGAATGGCTCTGTGCAGACCGAATCTTGATCGGCATCGCTGTGCTCCAATTTGCTCTGCTCCTGTTGAGCACGTTCCTTGAAGTTGAATAAGTCCTCATCATTGTTATCTGCTCCAAATGCTGTCTTTGGCTTCTTGCTGTTGCCAAACTGGAACAGATTATCAAGATCGACGCCGTCATTATCCTTGAGCACCTCCAGACACAGACGCTTGCGAGGCTGCGTTGTAGCTGGAGTCTCAACAACTTTTTGGGTTGCAACATGTTTTTGGGACTTTTCTAGGAAATTACGCACACTAATTTTAGTTGGCTTGCTGACCGATTTATCAGCTGATTTGTCATTGGATGCAATGTCAGCTTCAGTTGGCTTGAAGACTGCACGATCCGGGACAACTGCAGCTGAAGTATGTGCCTCGAATTGAAACAGTTCCTCGTCCTGTGAACTATCATCTTTATCATTACGCATAACATTCGCTGCTGTTGGTTTACCACGCATTGAACGACGTGGCGAAATTACCGCCGGCTCGTCCTCCTGCGGCGGCTGTGGATTGCCACGAGTTGAGCGTCTGGCTGAAATAACTGGAGTCTTTTTCTGTCGTTCGACTTTTGATTTATTCTTAACCAAATTCTCATCAATAGGCGTTTCCACTGAGTTGGCTATACTCTCTAGCGCTGCTTCATCTTCCAGACTCAAGCCGATGTCTACATTGGCATTTTGTTTGGTTTTCTTTTCCAGCGGCAGATCTTCGTCAGAGTCGACAACATTAGCAACTCTACGCTTTGATCGTCGTGCAATTGGTTCTTCGTCTGAGGACTCCACGACAATACTTTCAGGTGCTTTTTTAACTTTCTTTGTGGGCTGCTCGTCCTTTGTGTCATCGTCATCCGAGGAGTCATCCACATATATGGGATTATTACGTTTGCTTCGCCGCCTTGTGGTGCATGACATTTCCTTGGGTGCTGATTCCGATTTTTCGTGCTTCTCGCTACCCACACTCAGTCCATAGATTTGCGATTTGTGGGATTCAGGGACAACAAACTCGGTTGCACTATTTTTATTACAATGTTCGGTTTGAGTGCGCTCCGTATTGGGTACCAAGATCGATGAATTCATTGATTCCGTTGTGGTCACAGAGTGCTCTATTGCCACATGCGATGGATTACAGAACTTGTCCAACGAACAATTCAAGATGGCAAGTCCAATCTCGTAGTCGGGTATCAAACGCAGTCCAGCCTGCTCCAAAATAGCTAAAAATATATATTTTTAAGTTTAAAAAGAAGCAAACTTAGATGGAAATTTGTGGGGTAAGCAGACCTTGTACACTGGAAATAGTTTCGGTGGCTTGCGATTGAGTTGAGCTCACATATTGTATGACGACGACATTTTTTTTCGTCAGAAATCGCTTGGATACACCCAAATTGAGATCCTTGCACAGGCCGCCAGCCTTCTGGACCACCGAGCCGTACATCTCGAGATGCTTGCGATTCATGAACACAAATGTGATGCCGACAAAGAGTTTGGTGCGCTCGGAACGCCACCTGATGCTGGGCATATCCGATGGCTGGGCGGGCGCAAAGTCTTCGGATTGTGGCCAATCCTCGGTGACATTAATACGCCGCGCGAATTTCAACATCTCGCGCCAGAAGTCAACGCGAACAATCGGTTTATTCTCGAGCAGCGCATGCAGCAGTTTGGCTGTAATCGACACCGTGTCCATGGTCAGATGCGAGCACTCATCTGTCCAGCTTTGCAATGTAACGCCACCGAGTGGCCTCATCAGCTGATCCAATTCACGTAGTCCCATGCCCTCTAGGGCAGATCCAGTTGTTGTCAGCTTCAGCTGTGACACCTGCCAGATGTTCTTGAGGGCCCCAAAGCGCACTTTATCGCCAATTTGCAGAGGCGTTGGTGTCTTTGCCGGCATCTTCTTGTTCTTTTCGATGCCACTGTTGATGAAAGTACCGTACCTGGAGCCCAGATCCTCCACGGTGAGCTCATTGCTAGACAAACAGAGGCTGACATGGGTGCGACTAATGCTCAGATCCTCGGATAATATCAAATCCGTCGACAAGCGTCCGACGGTGTATGTCGCCTTAACCGGCAGCAAAATGAATTTTACACTCTCTGCAAATAGATACGGTTAACTATGCAAAACATAAATGTATTTTTGACTATTAACAAACCATTATCCACTTTATTTAACACAAACATAGTTTTAATAAATTAAAAACAAAGAGCGCAATTTCACAAGCACAAAACATCTAACAGAACCAGTTACAGAACTGTCAAAATTATGTTAAGTGCTCAGCAGGTCTGTTAAGATTTTGCTTGTACGCAAATTAAAGTATTTTAATAAAAGTATTGTAATAACATCTTAGCCAAACTGTTAAAAGTAATTTTAGCTATATTTTTTTACTCTAAATTACTTTTATTGTTCAATTTAATTTACATTAATGTGCAAATATATATGTTGAAGCATGTCGGCTTGAGCTGCGTACTGTCCCGTACGTTAACAGGTGAATGGCAACCGGTCGATTGCATTTGTTTTCGCCACAGGTTTCTGTTTATTGTTTGCTCATTTTGTTTTTTAATTAAATGTAAGTGCATAAACATTGTTAAAATGGCACATTCAACGGGGACGCGTGTCAGCATGTTCAACGAGTCGTTCCTCAACGACAACGAGCACGACTCGAATGCGGTGCTCATGGAACTGGACAAGGGACTCCGCAGCGCCAAGCAGGGCATCCAATGTGAGGCAATTGTTCGATTTCCGCGTCTCTTTGAGAAATATCCGTTTCCTATACTGATTAACTCATCGTTCATCAAACTGGCCGAGTTCTTTGTGAGCGGTTCGAATCTGTTGCGTTTCTGGGTGTTGCGCGTTTGCCAGCAGAGCGAGAATCATCTCGATAAGATTCTCAATATTGACAACTTTGTGCGTCGCATTTTTATGGTGATGCACTCGAATGATCCAGTGGCGCGTGCTCTGCTCTTGCGCACACTGGGCGCCGTGTCTCGAGTGATACCAGAGAAGCCGCAAGTGCATCATGCGATTCGTCGTGCACTGGATAGCCACGATACCGTCGAGGTGGAAGCGGCCATCTATGCGAGCAGCTGCTTTGCGGCCCAGTCGAGCTCATTTGCAATCAGCATGTGTGCCAAGATCTCCGACATGATTGAATCACTGCAGGTACCGGTGCCGATGAAACTGCTGCTGATCCCAGTGCTGCGGCACATGCATCATGATGCCAATACGGCGGCGCTGGTCAGCAAACTGTGCCTGGAGCTGCTGCCCAAATATCCGGCACAGAGTTTCGTGGTGGCCATCATCAATACGCTGACACAGTTATCCTCACGTACGCTCGTTGGGGTGCCTGGCCAGCTGAATGTTCTGCTAGACTTTATGCAGGATCTGCGTATGCCGGTTCGCATCCAGGTGCTGCGCTCCTTCAACGAGCTCGCCGGCAAGCAGAGTGTCAACGCTTGGCCAAAGTCAGCAATTGGCGCACTCATCAGTAAATTTAATCTCTGCACAAATGGCTCCGAGCAGTTCCTCTTCCTCTCCATTCTACTCAAGCTCAGTGAGTGTCCACTCACCTGTCAGCATCTGCTGTGCGAGCATCGCGACGCCCTGCTCCGTCTGTGCAACGAGTGCATCAGCAAATTGGATGACTACACGGCCGCCACGCAGGCCATGGCTGTACTCGCCGCCCTTCTCTCCTTTGGGCTGCAGCGACAGTTTAGCCAGGTGGACGTCATACTCGACATGGTCAACTTGCACATGGAGGGTCTGCTGCTCTGCACAGCACGTCGCGCGGAGTTCACCAAGGATTTGCGTCGCCTCCTTGCCTATGGCATACGCATAACGCAAGCGAATGCAGAATTTGGCGCCGATTTCATTGTGATGGTCACCAATACGCTGGGCGACAATGTCATCTATCCGCCGGCGAATTTGCAAGTCATTTGCGAGGCATCCGTTGGACTCTGCGAGCACTTTCAGCTGCGCAAATATGCCTTCTCCACGTCCGTGGGTCTGGAAGATGAGGCGGCAATGGAAACGGATGAACCAGAGCCGGCAAAGGTAAGTTTTTCTGCAGATCTTTCGATTGCTATAAACCTTAATGGAAATCTCCACACTGCAGCCCAATCCGATGATGTCGCGACTGCCGCTCATTCTGTACAAGCTGAACAAACTGGTGGACAGGGAGGAACAGCCGGAGCAGCTGCTGCGCACCGTGGAAATACTCTGTGCCTTGGTCTGTCAGACGACAATGGGTTGCTATCTGCCACAGCCGGTGGTGCAGTGCTTTGAGAAGTGCATCGAGCGTGTCAATTGCTGGACTCTCTATCGGATTGCACGCACAGCCAGTCGCTACGGCCATCACTATGTGGCGGCGCACATCTACACGAAGGTGTCGCAGATTGTGATTAGTGACCACATGCACTACTTCCTTGTGGCACTCGCTCAGATCTCGCAGGCGGAATGCATACTCAACTATGGCTTGGAGTACACTTACATGCGGGATAATTATGCGCCTAGCGAGGCACCGGAGCCATTGATACCACTGATGAGGCGGCTGGAGGCGGCCAGCAATCTCTACCAGCAGGCGCTGGCCAGCATGCGTGCCTGTTCCTCGCCCCAGCATCCGTGCAGCTTTCAGCTGGAGTATCTGAAGATACGTGCACAATTTCTGCAGACTCTTCATCTCGCCGTGACGGTGAAGAATGCCCAAGTGATTGTGCCACCGCCGGCAATTGCGGGCAGCTTGGCCCAGAATTCGCGGGATTATCTGCAAAAGTTTGGCCACGTTACGAATCAGCTGCGCAAACTGGTCAAGGCGCTAAAGGTATGCGAGGAGACCTACGCACGCCTCTACAAATCCTCCTTCGATGCGGACAATGTCACCCTGGAGTTTCTCGAAGTGGCTGAATTTCAATGCGCTCACTTTGCGCACATTATTGAATCGATTTGTTATGCGACGCCGCCGGAGCCACCCATATTTCTGACCACCGGCAATCATCCGGAGACGCGCTATTTTGCCGCCAGCTGCCAGCGCATGGAGCAGATGCAGAAAAATCTACCGCAAGAGCCACCGAATGCCAAAACGATCAGCAATCGCCATTTGGATGTGATCTTTGCGTTGATTGAGATCATAACAAAGACGCCACTCTGCCTGCCGCGCTACTTCTTCCAGATACTGCAGTCCACCCAGATCAAGCTGTCGGTCAGTCCACAGCCTCGCAGCGCCACAGAGCCTGTCATTGTGCAGTCGGGCAGTAATCTGGTGATCAAGGTGGAGGGTGTACTCCAACACATTAGCAAGCAGCAGAAACACTTTCGACGGGTGGATTCTGTGCAACTGAGTCTCACGTCGCAACTGATGACGCCGCGGCCAGTTAACGAGTTGGTGAAGCTGCCCAATCCCGACACGGTGACCCTCAATCAGATTGTTAAGCCGCAACGGGATTTCCTCTCGGGCAGCTTTTTGTTGCCCATATCGAGTGGTGGCCAATTTCAGGTGACGCTGGAAACGTTCGTTGTTGACGAGCACGGAATCACCTGGTGCACGGGTCCCACCAGCTCGATGGTAGTACGCGTCCTAGATGATCCAACGAAACCAGCAGCGCCACCAGTCCCGAGTACTTCGCAGGCCGTCAGCCAAGCCAGGCGCTTCTAAGCAGACGAAGTTTGTCTATATATTTTTATAGGTATATTAAATAAAGTCGAATTTTGAATGCTGATTTGAAGTGCCCGGTTCAGCACACAGTCAAGCAACACTACATTTTGTGCTTAGGTGGCAGCACTGGCCTCATTTTGTGTGAATGGCAAGTGAGCGGCAGCCGCAGCAGCTGATTCACACTTGCAATCGTGCTCTTCTTCACCGTGAAGTTTTCCCGTTTGTCGTTGTAATAAACAATGTAAAGAAATCTAGAAAAGACATTTTGTGTGTTGTTCATTTAACCAAGAAATGCGGACGTGTTTCAACACCCGAATCAAACAGGCTCACACTAAATGGGGTTTATTGACCGCTTTATCTTTGATATATGATTGGAGCACTTAAGCCCGCAGCCAGCGCTAGCAAGTGGGTTTATCTATGTTGCGAATGTGGATTTTTAATTAAAATCAATTAGGCGCAACATTCACACACACACACATAAATCAAAAAACAAACATAACACAGCACAACTGAGCGCATACAAATTTCGTATAATTTCAAATCACACATAATTACAACAACAACATATAAATAGTTGACCAAATTCCGCGCTTAACCTGTGGTGCACAACCACAACCCATGGACATAATTGCCCTAATTGGAAACAACGGCAGCAGAGCAGCAGCTTCGGTAGCATGGCACAATTTACGCTGTGAGTACAAAAGCGCTGGGGTCGCTTTATTTCTCCTTCTTTCTTTCTTTTTTTTTCTGTTGTACTTTAACAATGAGTAGGCGACGCCGATTGTGCTATGTGTTGCCGGGGTGCGTGTTAAATTACGACTACCCTGTTGAACACTTGCAGCCGGGTATTATGTGCTAGTCGTGCGGAGCGCATACAGCTGTTGTTGCCATGTCCGCTTATCTGAATATATCTTAAAAGTTAACTTTTTGAACTTTGGAATACATGACAAACGCTGAATTAGTCAACGATTTTTAGCAGAGTATATAGGGTATATAGGGTATCTAGTCAACGGCGTGGCCAAGCTAACTGTTCTAACATGTTTATCGCCTCGTAAAATTATGCAAGTGAAATCGGCGCCGTCGCCTACTACACACGTATCTAGCTTGATTTATATTTAAGTATGTTTACAGTAGTTGATATCCCCGCGCTTGGTTAAATTTATTAAGTACCTATATAGATATGTATATATATATATATGTCTTTTTTGGGGTTATTTGGGGCCTGTGTGTCTTTCCCATAGCTACAACAAACACAATGCACCGCCCAACAACGATATCATTACACGCGTCGACTGCGATTGCGAACATGTCCGGCTTTGCTCCGTCAACGATGTTCAGTTAAGGTTCCTTGTGCCCGACGATCTGACCGAGGTAAGTATGCTGCCAATTGTCAATCCACACAATGTATAGTAATCGTAATCAATATATTTTGGATTTGACAGGTGCGGACACTGTGCCAAGAATGGTTTCCAATCGACTATCCACTGTCATGGTACGAGGATATTACCTCAAGTACGCGATTCTTTGCGTTAGCTGCTGTTTATAATCTGGCCATAATTGGTTTAATTGTTGCCGAAATCAAACCGTATCGAAATGTTAATAAGGAGGTAATAGCCAATTACAGTGATAGTGATGAGTTTTACACCAGGCTGAGCGGTTTTCCCATGCAGGACAAAGGCATATTGCCCGACTCGATGGGTCGCACCGCAGACGTTGGCTACATATTATCGCTGGGCGTTCATCGCACGCATCGTCGGAATGGCATCGGTTCGCTGCTGTTGGACGCACTGATGAATCATTTGACGACAATTGAAAGACATGCGGTTAAGGCGATATTTCTGCACACGCTGACAACAAATCAACCTGCCATATTTTTCTACGAGAAGAGAAGGTAGCACAACTCCATTATCGATAATGTCCATCAGTTGCGTGTCTTTAGCTAATTAACTGCTTTATATTTGTATTTCTGTTTCTGTTCTTGTTTACCTTATTGCAGATTTACGTTACATTCGTTTCTGCCCTATTACTACAATATACGGGGCAAGGGCAAGGACGGTTTTACGTACGTGACCTACATAAATGGCGGCCATCCACCTTGGACATTATTATATCCTTTACATAAAATTGCTCATGCTTTCATTGTGTTTATGTTTATATGCTTTGTATATGCTATATTTTGGTTACCTTAACTCTCGGTCACACAGATCACATCAAGCACTATGCCTCCAAGTTGCGACACACGGGCAGCCTGTGCGTTTGGGCTGCTGCTCGTGTCCAGCGTGTGGTGCGTTGGTTCTACCACAAGCTGTTAACACGCTTCAATGTCATCGAATGAGCCGAACGGACTGCAACCCACCCCAAAACACCATCAGCCTTTTTACTGAGAACTGAGGAGACACCAACAACTGGCAACCGGCGACTGCCATCTGTAATAATCATCAATAGATACACGAAGAACAACAACAAAAAAACACCATCCATTTTAAGTGTTAGGCGAGCCAAATCATTTCGTTTTGTATACACACACACACAGATTTAAGCAAAACAATAAGAAAAATGTTAAAAGTTGTAAAATAGTCTAATACATGTATTATTACGTTTTTACATATGTATATGTTCACCTGCTGTAAATAGTCGTATCATCTTTTATTTAAAAAAAAAATGCTGTACAATTAACTATAGCGCAAGTGATTTGTATACGTTCTTTTTTACGATTCCTTACTTTTATAATTTGCATCTATTTAATGATTATCCTCTACGCACAAGACAGTCATTTTAGTTAGTTTAGCGAAAAGAAACAAAACCCAACAAAGATGCTCATGCTTTATCTAATTTCTAATTTATTAAACACAAAATGCACACAATAGCTTTGAGAACTGATTTAAAACAATACATGTAAAATATAGTTTGCATTAGTGAGATCCCACAATCCCATATATTTCATTTTTTCTTTTATAATTTATGTTCACTGTCTTTATAGTATTTTGTAAAAGTATTTTAATGCAAAATGTTTCATTTTAGACACAATTTACTTAGCGAATTGTAATATTTTTAAATTAAAAAAAACTTGTAAAGTTATAAACATAAACATTCTAAGTATACAGTGTGTTTTCTACTTTCCAAAGAATAATTGTAAAAGTTTATTATTTACAATTAATCACCTGTTGTTGCACACGGAAAATTTAAGCGCCATCTTTCAAAAACATATTACACAGTGTGACCGTATGCAACAAGGCTTACCAAAAAGTATCTGGCAACGCGACACGCGCACTACTGTGAACGAAGTTTAGAATTATATCGATATAAACGATAATTTTTTTGTTGGTCTATTGTGATCTACGTAGTAGGTGAGGAACAGAACGTCAATTTAGTGGCATAAATTCGTCGAAACATCATTGCAAAAATGTTCTCCAGAGCCGCACTCCTTACAGGTAAATGCAAAAATAGTGAAATAAAAGCGTCGATTATGCATTAACTCGCAACTCGTCAGCTAAGCGTGTATATGTAACTGCGAACGTCGACCGTGAAAATTGGTTACGGCACCGCAAAGTTTGCCATCGTGGTTTATGTAATCACGATGAACATTCGCAAATCAAACGTCAAAATTTGATATCTTTTTTTGTATTGAACTGAACTACTGAAAGAAAATACTAATTTGGTTTTACTGTTTTTCGTGCAGCTCAGCGCCCATTGACCCTGGTGGCCAGCCGTTCGGCAGCTGCCGCCGCTGCTTCCCCATCCGGTGGCGGTGCCGTCGAGCGCCGCCAGCGTCCCGAGCATCCCGGCAAGGTGCGCTTGGGCTTTCTGCCAGAGGAGTGGTTCCAGTTCTTCTACAAGAAGACTGGCGTCACCGGCCCCTACACATTCGGCGTGGGTCTGATCACCTATCTGTGCTCCAAGGAAATTTATGTCATGGAGCATGAATATTACAGCGGTTTGTCGCTTGGTATTATGGCCATCATTGCGGTCAAGAAACTGGGTCCAGCCGTCGCTCGCTGGGCTGATGGTGAGATCGATGTAAGTAACTAAAACAAACACATCTTGAATGGACACATTAAAGATACCTTTTATCTGTAGAAAATTGAAGGTGAGTGGAAGGAGGGTCGCGAGGCAGAGCTGAAGGTTCTCGCCGATGCCATTGAGGACGAGAAGAAGGAGCAGTGGCGCGCCGATGGTGCCCTGATGCTGATGGAAGCCAAGAAGGAGAACATTGCCCTTCAATTGGAGGCAGCGTTCCGCGAGCGTGCCATGAACGTTTACTCGGAGGTTAAGCGTCGCTTGGACTACCAGGTGGAGTGCCGTCACGTCGAGCGTCGTCTCAGCCAGAAGCACATGGCCAACTGGATTGTGGCCAATGTGCTGTCGAGCATCTCGCCCCAGCAGGAGAAGGAGACGCTGAACAAGTGCATCGGCGATTTGAGCGCCTTGGCTCTGCGTGTTAAGGCCACATAAACGACTCGAGTTCTTAATTGTTAATTTGTAAAAATACAACACACACACAAACACACAAAAATCTGTGCGAAGTAGCAAAAAACAAAAACGGGCAAAATGTACCACAAAATGTTTAAAATCAATACAAATGTATGTCCAATCGGATAAAATTCTCACGAGGCTCTCTTCTAACCTCGAGGCATCTCCTAAAGGGAAGCGAGATACCAAATGGAATCATCATCATCATTAGCTAAGCTTTATTTATTTCACATCTCACACACACTTCTCAGTCTTCAGCTGAACCAATCTCCAATGAGGATGGTGTTCCGCTCAGATGATCCTCAAAGTCATCGACAACTTGCTGGTGCCGATCCTCGTGAAATGTTTGCACACAATCATCCGAAGCAGTCACCACGCACAATGGCTTCTCTCCGCTGTAGAAACCGGTGTTGCCACGCACATATGTAATCCTCTTGGATTGCAGCCAGCGTTCCAGCTGAGCGAAGCAGGCGCACTGCCAGGGATTACCCTCGATGGCCATGCGCCTCAGTTGCAACAATGTCCCATTCAGATCGGGCAGAAAAGTCAGCTTATTGTTGTCAATTAGGAGATCCCTAACACTGCTCCAACTATCCAGCACATCGGATTTGATCTCACTCAATTCATTGTTTCCCAAATGCAGTTTTTGCAGATGCCTCATTGGGGCAAACATTCTCACATCCAGGCTGCTCAGCTCATTGTTGCCCAGCGACAGGTAGTCCAGAAAGGGCAGCGAGGAGAAGGCCAAGGCATGCAGACTCTTCAGATTATTCCCATTGAGATTGAGTTTCTTCATTCTGGACAAGGTGCTGCTGCCAAAAGCCTTCGCGTCCAGCGACTCAATGCTGTTGTGTGACAAGTCCAGTGAGTCCAGATCCTCGAGACCCGCAAAGGTGTGCGCCTTAATCTCGAGTATATCGTTGGATTGCAGGTAAAGCTTCCTGAGCGCCTGCAGACCCGCAAAATGTGGCGCACTCAGACTGGCAATGTTGTTCTGGGAGATGTCCAGCACTTGGAGACGACCCAATCGCCGGAATTGATTATCAAAGAGCAGGCGTATATTATTCCCAGACAAATCCAATTGTTGCAGCGACACCACCTGGCCCGATGATCCAAAGGCTTGGGGACGCAGTGCATCCAGTTGATTGTGCGACAAGTTCAACGTGCGCAGCTGCATCAGCGACTGAAACGTGTCCTTTTCAACTGATACCAGTTGATTTTCACCCAGCTGCAAGTGAAGCAGTCCTTGCAGGCCATGAAATGTTGTTGAATTTAACTGGAATGTTAAGTTTTTCAGTTATTTTGAATCTTAACAGCTGAAGATTCTGTTAATCAACAGGGCTATTTAATTTACCTAATAATCCCCAGACTCAATTTATCTGTTAACAAATCCCTCCAGCAAAACTAAAAAGCAGACTAAAGAGAGCGAGAGAGAGAGAGTGACTTCGACTTCGAAAATAAAAACCCCAATTAATATTTTGGTTTGGGTGTCAAAGTCAGTAAGCGTCTGCAGTACACCGCAAAACTTTTTAGTCGCAATTATCTTAAATAGTATTAATATTATGTAACGAAGGATTTTTATATGGAGTAGCTGTGTTATTTTTGTAGTGTTCAGCAAGCTGCAGAAACGTTGAAAGAGAGCTGCATTTCCCTTTGATTGTTTTTGTTGGATTATGCTCGCTGCGACACTCTCCAAATGCGCAGCGTTCTTAAGAGAGGAAAGTTAGACAACAAAAGAGAGGATTATGTTGGTGCTGATGCTGAGTGAATTTTTACATTGATGCTACATGCAAATAAGCACGTTTGTGTGTAAGCAGCGTCCAATAAGAATATGCAATGAGAAAATACCAAGAAGGGAATCCCATCAGTTGCATCTTTACTCTGTAATCAATCAAACGGGTAAAAGGTGTATACAAAGTATACAAATTGTATGTAACAGACAGAGCTGAGCATCTCCGATCCGATATAGTTAATTAATTCTTGATCAATCGCAGATTTACAGCAAAATTCTTGATCAATCGCAGATTTACAGCAAAATTCTGCCTGTCTGTCAAAATTATATATCACTTAAAGGTTTATCTAGATCTGTAGTAAGAATTAAATACAGTTGTTAAAAGACTAAACCTCTGACCTTAAAAAATTGCAAAAAAGATGAATATTTCTGTGTTGCGCAAGCAACAGAAAAACCCAGAGGTAAAGCTTCTCCTAAATTTGCCAACTCATTTATCGATTTTACCGCAAACTAATATGCCCCATTTCGCACTGGGAATTGTGTACAATGCATGATGATATTTAAATTCACATTTGATTGAGACTGTTGCGTAAGAGGCACGTAGAAGAAGAAGAAGTTGATGACTCACCTGACTCAGCTGATTGTCATTTAGTTTAAGCTGCTCCAAATGGGGACAGTTGCCGAAACTGATATTAGTCAACTGATTGTGACTGAGATCCAAATGCTGCAGCAGCTGCAGATGGGGCAACTCGATTTGCTGCAATGAGTTATTCGTGAAATTTGCAAACATCAATTTGGGTAAATGGACAAAGACATCCTTGGTCAGATTAGTGAGTTCGTTGTGACTCGAGTCGAGCAACCGCAGCGCAGATTCAGTGGCAAAGTGAGTCTCAAGCAGTTGTTCCAATGAGCAGCCGCTGATATTCAGCTGCTTGAGTTGGGGCAGAATGGAGAAGCCTCTCTTCTTTAGCTGCAATTGCTGTACATGCGATAAATCCAATTCCATCAGGCTGGATAAATTCTGTGCACTAAAAGCTGTGACTGACATTAAGGCACGATTCCAACGGTTGACTTAGCTGTTTCCTAGCTTACCTGTGCCGATTGCCAGTTCAGTTTGCTCATTGCGAATGCTCAACCGATGCCAGTTGTCGGTGGGAAATGCCTTCACATCGATCAGCTCCTGCAGGCTGCTCAATTCGCGGCACTCAAAACTACGCCAGCCTTGAGCCTCACAGACCACAGCCAATCCAGGGGAAAACCCAAAGCAGAGCAGGCAAAGAATTGGCCAAGTGTAGAACAGCAACATTCCAGCTCGAATGCTCATCGGCAACTGACTGCAAAACTCGAGTCTCGACTCTCTCTCTCTCTCTTCAGCTTTGATAAGAAATCAAGTTTGTGTTAAAAGCCGGTTCTCAATGCGCTTCAAGCCCGGCCCAAGAGCTTCAACAGCTGAGTGACCGTTGAGTGACAGCAGTAAACAAAGCAAATTCCACAATATCAAAACCAGAATAGAACTCACTGCGACCAGGGGAAGTCCTCTATCAATGTCAATGTCTCGAATAAATTCGTAGTGCTGCACTTCAATTTAATGCGGAAAGAATAAACATTGTCTATATAAGATGATATACCCTGGTAGGCCGGAGACACATTGCAGACATCTAAAATTGACTACAAATTTGAAAAACCAGTCGATTGTTCTCATGAAACCTATATGATATTGTAGTCCCACGTTTATCATTTTCTGTTTAAATATTTGGATCATAATAACAAGCATATTGGGTAAGTTTGGCTCAGATATCTTGTTAAACAAATAAGTATTTCAGATTTGTTTATGCCATATAATCAACAGGCGATATCTCAACGATTGTGGCTTTCATGCAATCAGAAAATCCTCAATTATCCTTTCATTCTTCTTGTTGATAATATAATTTAAAATTGATTAGATTTGCTGTAGTCTCAAACATCACATCTATATCGATTACTTACTTTCACATTATTCGCACAACTTCACGATATCCCTTATATATCCCAACTATAATAAAAAAAAAACCACAGAGCTTTCGCCCAGTTAATTCTATAGATAAATAGCATCTGGCTAGAACGCTTTTAATAAGCTTAGCATTTTGTTTACAATAGTTTTGAAGTATTTTGGGATAATTACGTTTAGATATTGTTGTGCTCTTGGAGAAGAAAAAAATATGATTACCATTTAAAGTATTACAATATTTTAGAGTTTATAATTGTTGTAGCATTATGAAAGATCGTATACTATAATACAGTTAACTAAATAGAAATAATTACAGAATGTACTAAAACTTACGCTACAAATTAAATAACATAATTAACAATAATTACTTTAGTTGAATACATATATATATATATATATATAAATAGATATAGATATAGTTGTTGATTGATAAGCTGTCTAAAGAGCTTTTATTTATAATTGTATGAAGAATATTCCACTAAATTACACGATATTTTTAATTTAATTAACTTGCGTTGCACATTTTGCATATTTATTGTATTATTGTACATGGAGCACTTCTAAACTATTTTATTTTCCGTTGAATTCTCAGAGAGCTCTTAAAGCTACGCTTCTTGAATTTCTAGTGGCTATTTTACACCAGCTTACACTTAAAACTGTATCTCGATTTTGATGATTTCCTTTAATATGTTCAACTATAAGTTTTCTACACAACGATGGATAGAAGTCTAAACAAGTAAGAATGCTCGACTGGAATATACCCTGCACCCAACTGACATAATACAAATAACTTCTGGGTTTGTTATTCTAAATGAATGCAATTTTTACACCTGATCAATATTATGTGTAGACATATAGTCATTCAGTATAAGAGTGTTATAAATTGAGAATTATGGTTTTAATTGCTGAACTTGTCGGACAGACAGATGGCAAGATCGACTCGGGTGTTGATGCTGATCAAGAATATATATGCTTTATGTGTCGCAGATGCAGGGTATACAAAGATCTACACAGTTTTGTAAGCTAGTGTAATATTGAACCACAGCTGTTATTAGCCAGTTTTAGCTTTAGTTTAGAGCTGCTTATATTTTCACTGGTTTTGGTAAGACTGCAAATAGTTTGAGAGTACATCAGTGTATATATATATACATATATAGTTATGTGGTATATATATAGATATAGTATATTAAACTCAGCTAGAATAGTTGTATTTGTTAAGCGCCTGTTGACAATTGTGCGCATTTCTTGTTGCGAAAATGGGTTAAAAAGTGTGGGTATCTAAATCAGACTATAGTTACGGTTGGGTTTGTCATCTTGTTGCTGTTATACAACGGCTGATAATGATGTGCAACACCCGCCAAGCTACCGTTGCTGCTGCCATTGCTGTTGCTGTTGATGCTGTTGTTGTTACTGTTGTTGTTGCTGCTGCTGCCGCCATTGAGGAAACGCGCCTTGACGCCATTTTGTGACAATGGCAACGCTTCTCCAATAAGTGTTATTCGCACGGGCTTGCGTACCACAACAGCAGCAGGGGCAGCAGCAGCACCAGCTGGGGCAGTTGTGGGCGTGGCCGTCTCGACAGCCGCCTCCCAACCGATGGAGGCGCGACGCGGATATGCCGCGGCAGCCAACTGTTGATTGTAGTTGGTCAGCGTGGTCGAAATAATTGTGTGACGACGTGTCTGACTCAAAGCACGACAATTGTTGTTGTTGTTGTTGTGATTATTGTTGTTGTTGTGGTTGCCATTACATGGCTGCTGTGGCTGCTGCTGGTGGTGTATTATTGTTGTTGCCGCCACGGTGGAATCGTTGCAATGATGCAAGTGGAGCGTCGGAAAGTGCGTGGTATAACTGGTATATTCAGGCTTACTTCTGTCCGGCCAGGTGAGAAAAATGCAAATAACAGATTAAAACACATTCAATTTGAAGTCAGTTTTGTGTGTGAGTTTGTTGATTAGTGTTTCTTTTGATTAGTGGCTACTTATTGATTGTGCAACATGGGCGTAGTCACGTTGAGGGGGCAATTTACCCATTGCCAAGTATTAGTAGTAGTTAGATATCTTGAAAAAAAGTTGAGAAAATTCCGCTTCCAACTCTGATAAGTTTAATGTAAAGTTTACGAATTTGTTACACTTTTTTTTCGTTATTAAAAAAAAATTAAATTTCATTTCCAGTTGCGTTTATCAATCGTTAAAGTTCCAGTTCCGGTTAAGACTTGACATGCTATGAATATCTCTATATATATTTCAGTCCTATGATATTTAATTAATATAATATTCGAGAGGTTTTCAAATGAAAGCTTTGCTGATTAGTCGAAAAATATGATTTAAAATAAGTTATTTTCGTCATTTTGCTGATTTCTGCTAAATATCTTTGTAAGTCAAAAGTTTAGACTTGTTCCCTTTTGCTCCCCCGCCTGACTACGCCCATGATTGTGGTTAGTATAATTGTTACCTGGAGACTCTATTTAATTGCCGCATGCAATTAAAACAGTTCACAAACAGTGTTAATTGTCAGGCAATAAGTTTCTAATGCTTACAGCTAAGAGTCTTAATTTGTTTTTTATTTTTTTCTTTTTAGTTGTATTTAAATATTTTTGTTAGTTATTTGATACAGTTAAAGCTTTGGTTCGAGTTTAAACGAATTCAGGTGCAGTAGTTACAGTTATCCAAACAGTTATTATAACTTAGGTGTAGTATACATAAGAGATTGATCGCACACAGCACTATAATGGCCAATATGAAATCACAAAATAGTACCTGTTGCTCCCCAAACTGTAGTCTATATAAGGCAGCATGTATATGTATGGGTTATTTAGATTGTGTGTGTGTGTGTGTGTGTGAGTGGGTGATATATATATATATATATAGAAAAGTGATTAAATTAAAGCGAAAAAACACAGCTACAAATAGTTAACCAACGGACACAAACTGCACTTGGAGAAAAACGCAGTTCAACTTGAAAATTGTTGCTGTAGTTCAACTAGAATATGCAGTGTCTTTAAACTGCGAGTTTAGTTTCTGCTTAGGGTTTTCTCCAAGTGTAGGTGAGTGCTGCAACTGGTGTTGGTGCTGCTGCTGCTGCTGCTGCTTTTGTGGCTGCTACTTGTTGTTGCAAGTTGGCCAAATTAGGCCGCAGCTATTACAATTTGCGGCCATTAACGTCAAGTTGAAAAAGTGGCCAACTGATTTGCATGCCGCCGTTGGCCAATAAAGCCAGCGGCGCATGAAACCAGCTGACAGCTGTAGCTGCCACAAATCAACAGCAATATCAGCGGCAGCAGCAGCAGCAACAAGCCACAAACGGCGTTTTGTATTAGTTTTGTACATGGTTAGAAAAAAAAAATAATCATAACAACAAATTTGCATTGAAGATGAACGTTTGCCTACCTGGACAAACCCTCCGCACCAATGGCAAGTGGACGTGTCTGTGAAAGTGGAATCGCGCTCAGTTAGTCACACATATCAAATATATATATATATCTATACTATATCTTCATATATAGTTTTGGTTTATGGCAACTTACTCGCTCCGTTTGGGTGGCCATGCTGATGCACTCCTTGTTGACAAGGTTTGCCACGTTGCCGTCAGCTGGCATCGCTTGGCGCTTCTCCGCCTCGAGCTGCTCGATAAGATCTCGCTGCAGGCGTATGGTGCGATCACGATCATCCACTTGACCCTGATTGCCAAAAATAAAAACACACACACACAAAAACCAAAATGACCAAATTGTTTTTCGAGCAGCTTTTTGCAAAAAAAGGCTAGCTAAATGATATATTCATATGTTCACAAACTAAGCCAGAGAGCATTGTTTTTGTTTTTTTATTAAGTTATAGACACTAAAAAAAGTTGCATAAATATATATATATGTAGCTAGGCTATCAATCAACAACGTACACCATCAAGCTCTAAAGTCCGAAGTCAATTGCTGACAATATTTTGAATATTTTCATGTATTTGCATTGTTTGATTTTGTTTTTGGATTAGTAAAGTTGCGATCAAAATCGAAATATAATAAATAAATGATCTTGGGTTTGTTCTTACTGAAACATTCAAATAAACAACTGATGATTAAACCAAAAATAGAAACCATAAATAAATGAATATATATATTTTTATATAAATACTTCGCATATAAAAATATTGATGACCCTTTCGGAATTTAGAGCTTGATTTTCACAAACAACAGCTAAATATTTGTTTTTGCTTTGAGTGTGTTTTTTTGTGTTCTAGCTAAAAAAGATTAAGATAAAGTTAAAGTGCGTGTTTGAATTTAGATTCTCAGAGAATACAACAATTATATATATTTATATATGTATATAGAGAGAGAGAGGAAAAAAGTGTATACTGTTTATAGTAAGCATAAAAATGGTCTGTTTTTTGTATGTTGCATGCTTAGTGGAAAGTATCTTTAATTTACAACTAGTGGCAAACAACAGCAAATAGTATTATATTGATAAGAAGAAAACTCTTTTGAAATCATTTATCCTGTTCAGTGACTGCTTTGTATATATTGTAACTGTTTTGATAAGAAAGCGAAAGTGAGTTGAATTTTGTTGTTTTGTTTTTTTGGGTACTCTCAGACTGAGTTTTTGATACGCCTCTAAACGAGCAAACGAAATGCAAAAAAACGTGCAAATACCTGAAGGTAAACAACCTGTCTACGTAGATCGGATAGCTCCTGCAAGGGATCCTCCGTTGTCGATGATGTCAGGCTGGCCAAATCGATGTCATTCAACTGCTTGCTATCCAGGCCACAGGCGGCAAACAACTGCATATTATCATTCTCGAAGGGATTCAGCGTCTCCGTCTGCAAGGATGAAAGGACGAGGCGAGAATAATGAATGAGACGACGTTGCCACTGCATCATTTATCATTTATCAGTTGGAGTTTTGTTTGGGGGCATGGTGGAAAATCAAAGGAAATAAAAACCTACCCGCTTTGTATCAAAATCAGCCTCCTGTGCCGTGCGATTGTGATGTGAGTTTAGATTGAGTATGAGTTGCGTATGAGTGAGTGTATGGCGTGTGTGGCAAATGGCATGTGGCATGTGGCATGTGCAAAAGAAAATCGAATAAGCAAAATAAAGAAATAAAAAACATGTTGAAGAATGTTGCAAGTCGGACTCAACCGACTGCTTTATACTCTGAGCCCAGTTAAATACAAAATAAAAACAATTGGTAAATAAACTGAGGCAACAGTATTACAACGGAATCAGAGTTAGAAATTGCTAGTCGAGGTAGTTCGACTGGGATATACCCTGCACTCAGCTGCTAAAGACATAGTTTGTCTAATCTGATTCTATTTATTAATAATATGTCTGGTTATATTATTATATATCAATTGTATTATAACTTTATATAACTTTACAATTGTGTCTTTTGTTGCTATCGATTTGTATCGATATTCGCAAAACAGGAGCAATTATCGATAAAATGATTTACACTTGATCTGGCTACGAAAACGTAGATTCATAATTAAAGTCATCTCGAAAAGTCTCTGAGATAATCTATAAAACATATATAGTTAATGGGTTCAGAGTCACTTCCTTTTGCCTGTTACACAATTTAATTAAACGATTATAAACCTAATAATGTCCTTACGTACCTCCTGAAGGATGCGACGTAGTCGCAACAGCTGCTTCTTGAACTGCAGCACATCCTGAATCATGGCATTCCTGAAGGACTTGTCATACAACATCAGATCGTCCGATGAGCTGTGCAGCTCTGCGTTGCTGCCACCCGGACGCTGACCAGTTGTGCGCCTCGAACCGGACGACGTGGCTGATTGGTGCTTCTGCTGTTGCTGCTGCTGTTGGCGTCGCTGCAGACTCGATGTGGAGGAGGCGGTTGAAGCACGCGAGGCGGCTGTGCTGCGCTTGCGACTGGAGGAGGCGCCGCTGTGTGTCGAACGCAAACTGTTGTCGGACTCGTTGCCAGCCTGATCCTGCAACCGAGAGCGATTCAGCAGGCGTGTGGCGCGTGCAGGCAGCTTGGCGCTAAACGGAGGCAAGAATAGAGACAGAGATATTAGCATTACTGCATTACTGGCTTGCTGCAAGCAGTCAGCTGCAACCTGAGATATGTGGCATTGGCAGCAGGCGCACTGCTCGCCATAAAACCGGGCACATAGTGGTAATGAGGCTGGGTAACGCCCTGAGGAGAACTGTTCCTGGGACGCGCTTGCTGTCCGGTTAGAAATACATTCTGTGAGGTCTTGAGATCTGTGCGAACGCGACGCGCACAACTGGGCGATGAGGCAGCCACTCCGGCCGAGGAGTTAGCTGCACTGGTGGACATGTTGTTGTGGCGACTGCAGCCATCGAAAACTCTGAACTGAAGTGAAACTGCGAGGACGATGACGATGACACAATCGGGACATGCGCACTAAACGACAAACAGCTGAGTGGAGAATTTGTAGACTTTTTCCCCAAAGCGGCATTTTTTTTTGCTTTTCATTTATTTTCTTTTCAATTATTTAACGCCATTAATTAACCAGGTGCGTCGTATGAAAGTGAAATGGCATCCATTGATTGGCTGCCTAACCTTGCCCCCCGTCTAGCTCACAATAAGGGGCAATTAGTTGCATGCTGGGAAGCTGCTCCACTCAGCGTCTTAAAAGTCGGTTACGTGGTGGAAATAAATCCACAATGGCATGGATATATATATATATATATACTGTTCGCTTGGTGAAAGTCAACTGTTGCGTGTTGCAGCAGACAAGGGATGCCATAGCCACTGGGGGGAGGCATGGGGGTGGGGCATGTGTTGTGTGTGTGTGGAGCAACAACAAGTCTTAGACATGCGCGTTGTTAAGCATTTCACGGTATAATTTATACAAACAAAGTATTGAATATTCGTAAGACACAAAGCAACCAAATGCCCAATAAATAATTTAGTCAAACAAAACGCGAGCAGTAACAAACAACAAATCCCGATTTAAACATACCCTGTTTGTTAATTTATTTACTGTCAAATTTATCAAAATTTGTTGATATATAATTATGGGATTAATAATTTTTAAGCTGAGCGGCTGTTACACATTATGATACGATATTATATGAGTCACTTCATGATACCAATTTTGAACAGTTTAAATCGCTGCAGGGTATTAAAAGGTAGCTTGCAGCAACACAAATGTAAACCACACTCGTAGATTTTGTCTTTGGGCATAATAATAATTGCTTTTTATTGTTATTGTTATTTTTATTTTTTGAACTTATATGTTAGGTTCCAGGTCGCATCACAGGTAAATAGCTGAAGTCTTATGGCCAATTGGCACGCTAAACACAATTCGCAGTATGCAGAGAGCAATAGTCGCAAATTGTTAACATTTTATTTGACTTTCACATCACACTTAATTAGTTTGAGTTTAAGAAACAAAACGAAAAGCAAAAGTGCTACGTAATTGCTTCAGAAAACTGGAGCAAACACATGCTCGAAGCCAAGCGAAAATTGCGTTTAATGGTTTTCCATTGGCGGTTAAGTATGACAGACCTGTAAGCATGCATAGAAGCATACAATAAACATACTTTCAACTCTATTATGATCTTTATCATTTCACATTTTAATGACAAGAACTTGGTCACTTTGGGTGCTGTAGAAAGTCTGAGAACTAGTCTAACTTGAGTTAGGCTGATGAAGATGTGATTATTTTAATATGAAAAGTTCCCAAAGACCCGAGGAATAACCACTTACAGACTGCCAAAAATGAATCGATTTAAGGGTGTTTCCTTCATTGTTTGAACTCTAGAATTATGCTTTATTTAATGTGGGAAACAAGATTTCAACTCAAAATTCATGTAAGTGAGTTCTACTCAAAAATGGAGTTTGTGGAGTGGTCTAAGCTGTCAAATGTCATAATTTGATCAAACTTCAACCAATTTTCAAAAGCAAGTCAAGTTAAGACCTCTTGAATAACACTGCATTTAATGTTAAAAGCGCGATTCGAGCTCGATTTCCATGTAAGAACTATAGCCAGAATAAGTATTCGGGGGAAGGGTCAAATTCACAGCTTTAACTTTGCCAAAACAAGACTCATGGATTGAGATTTAGATTAAGACGGATCTAAACTTACCAATCCAACAATTCTTTCAAAATTCAGCTCATTTTCAAAAGCAAGGTCTTTTTATTCATGGTTTGACCTCCAGAAGAATGCTACTTATAAATCTAGAAACATGATATCGGCGCAAATGTAAGCCATAAAAATGGCATGTTCTGTCTGACTACCAACTAGACTCGACTATATAAGGCATACTCTCTCTCTATAATTATAGGAAATATGGTTGCAGCTGGTGTTGAAGGCCTGCAAGTTTTGCAGCAGCACATTTAGTTAACTTGGCTTTCATATGCAAATCTTGGCCAAACCAAAGACAAACACTCATAATTCGCACGCTGGGTTGGATTGCAGTATGTGGATATAGCGTATATATATATATGTATATATATCTGCCTTATATGGTACTTGAGTATGCAGAAATCAACTGTGAAAGAGACGCGCTGAAATCAAAACAATGCCGAGCACTTTGCACAACTGCAAACAGCACCGGAAACTTGAAACCTGTACAAACATAGATACATATGTAAGATATGTATGCATTTATTTATGGGCATCCACATAAAAGAGCTGATATATATATGTATATATATATATGTGTGTGTGGACGACAAAACGTTCATTATTGCAACAGTTGCAGCATTAAAACAGCTAATGGACTTGCTGGAATTATCGTGGAGTTGAAGAGTGGCTTAGGCTCAACTATTTGTTTGTTGCTGCTGATGATTGTGGAGCCAACATTGTGGCAGCTCCAATGCCAGCGGGTCGAGTGTTGTCTCCCTGCCTGTCTATCTGTCGCCAGTGGGCTATTGCAACCTGCATACAGCCTGCAAACGGCAACAGCAACAGCAACAGCAACCGCAACCTGCAACAGTTAACTGATGATGACAAGCAATCACAATTTACAATCAGTTGCAGAGGCGACGACAAGCTCGAGCCGAGTCTAACGGCACTTATCAATTTTGTATGGTGAAACCTCATTTGTCATAGCCAAACGGAAGTGCACACAAAACAGGGGCAAACTCCAAGATCGAGACGGAAGGCGGGGGGAGGCGGAACAGGTAGCAAAGGGCGCTTCATTAGAGACGCTGCGATGATTGGGAGACTGGCAAAAGGTGATGATGGTAATAGTAATAACCATAAAGGTAAGATAAAGCATACACAACAAACTCACACACACACACATACACACACACACACACAACACACACACAAATCTGCGCTGAGAATCGGAATCCGGTGTGCTGTTGTTGTTGTTGTGTGTATCGTGTAGCGTGTGGCTTGTGCATATAACTTGTGGCATGCCAGCAAAGTTTTGTCTGCGCAGCTAAAGATGATGATGACGAAGATCAACGTTGCCTGCCAGACAGAGGAAGAGGCGGCAATGACGACAGACAGACAGACAGACGGGGAGACAGACAGACAGACAGACGGGGAGACAGACTGGCAGGCAGGTAGATAGCTAGATTGGTAGCTACGTATCTGTATCTGTAGCTTTAGCCTTAGTCGTATTTGCACTCAATGCCACACACTCAAAGAAATAGTTTAGTTTATAACAGAACACAGAAATATGGAATTCCTTTAGCCACATTCGACATTTCTTAGCATATCCAACATATTTTAAACATAATAAATATTTGTGGAATTGTCTTACAAGTCAGCATAGCAATTCTAAGAAATATTTTACAATCGGAGCAAATATGTTCGGAATTTAGACAGTCTGAAAAAAAAACTTTAGAATGTGTTTTATGGTTTATTGAAAATATATTGCATTGAACATTTCTTTAAGTAGAGTTCTTCTTCATTTAAATGTTGAGATGCTAAAAGAGTTTGTCGAATGAAGTTGGGCAAACGAATGTGAGACTTAAAAGGACGAATCTTCAATCCCATCAGGTATATTTATTCTTAATCAGTATAAACAGCCGAGTCGATATATCCAACTCCGAGCTGATCTCAGAGACTATAAGAGTTAGGCACTTGTACCTTAAAATAAATGTTCTTTTATGTCATATCCAGATGAAGTTAGGGCTCAGTATTGATCAGCTCTAAATATTTTATCATCAAAAAGTATTTATATATTGAGCAAAAAGTATTTATATATATAAAATCAGCAAGCCAACTATGTATTTAACAGCTGGGTATCTGCTAGTCGAGCTCACCCAACTATATCATTTTAGCTTGTTTCTGGAAGAGGAATTTGTAAAAAATACACTCCCAGTTTTTGTCAGTGTAGCTTGTGGTCAACGGTCGGGCATTCTGTTGAATTATGCATGTCTAGAGCGGAGACCTCTCTAAGTACTGACAGGCACTTAGAGGCCCATTTCAGTGGCCACAGATGGATTGCTCGAGCAACTCAGCTCAGCACCACTGAAGCAAGGCTGAACTTGAAGCGTCAACTGGCTTCAGCTTCAGGCCATAAATGGAGCTCAGTTTACATGGCAGCTCATTTTGTTGCCGCTGTTGTTGCCGCTGTTGTTGCTGTTGTTGTTGCTGTTGTTGTTGCAATTGTTGTTACGTTTATGGGCATCAAATTCCAAGCGATTTTCATGGCAACAACACAAAAAAGAAGAAGAATGCATTTGCATGTGACACACTTTTATTTCTTCTTCTATTGTCTTCCGTTGCATATCAAGTGACGCAAATGAGATTAGGGGGAGGGAGGGGAGGTGTGGCAGTGGCGGAAATCGGCACCCACTTGAGATTTCGGGCTTATGTCTGAGCATTCCGCAATTTTTGGTAATATTTAAATATTTTTCGTTTTTCGGTTTTCGGGTTTTTTGTTGTTAAACTCACATTTTGACCAAACCAGTTGAGAGTTTACTTTTTGTTGTTGTTGTTGTCGACTCTTCCCTTTCTTTTTGGATTTTTTTTTCTTGCTTTCGGCTTTTTTGGAATGTTATTTAATATATTTTCTGCACAACAAAGTTCACACAAAAAGCATTGACACTTGTGCCTGCGGCGCGTCTTTATAATAAACGTTGCCTGTTTGTTGTTAGTGTTGCTGTTGCTGTTGCTATTGATGTTGCTGTTGTTGTTGCTGTTGTTGTGTTTGTTGCTGGTATTTGTGGCATGGAAAAGGCAACAGTGCGTATCGACGGCGACGGCGTTAGCGAGGGCGGTCTATTCGGTCACTGGCTTTTGTTTAACTTTTTGTTTCTATTTTTACTCTTTTTTTTTACTCTTTTTTTTGTGGGTGGCTTTTGATTATTAACAAGCGCAATTAACTTGGCTCGGTGGGGTTAAGCAACTCAAACACTTGCAACACACTCAACACTCAACACTGAACACAACACGGCGTGTTGATTAGCCAGTCAGGCAGTATTATTATACGAATATTCTATTAAACTAATGCTCGCAGAGTAAGTCAATCAGTTACCCACGCAACAACTGAAACAACTCGTTTTAAAGCGAGGCGAACGCTTTGAGATCTTGTTTAATACTAAAGTTGCCGCTGAAGTTGGCAGCGAGCAGCAAGTCAAGGCTGTGCACAACGAACTGGGAATGAAACAGCGCACAGTGGGCCAAAAACTATTAGCAAGCGATTCAATTTATATCTGTTGTCAAATCGATATGATAATAATTTGGTTACGGAAAGTGTAAATTGGTGCTTTGACTTTTAAGGTACAGCAGCAGTCCAGTAAAGGCAAAAGTTTAAAAAAAACTAATTTATATGTATACCAAAAACTGTATATATCTATATAGGTTTTCGTTCTAATTTAGGTCTGTTCAGTCGGTAAACTTTCTGTTCAGTTTTCGGGAAACTTAAAGATCAATTGTGATTTAAATTCAAGTATTTCTTCTTAAATATTCTCCGAGAATATAATAATTTTCTATATATTGCTGTGTATATATATATTTTTAGCAGTATCTATTTATTTATAAATTCAAACTTCTCTTTAACTCTTAAAGTTTTCGTATAAGCAATTTATTCCCAGGTCTATTCTCAAATTATATAAAGTTCTCAGAGCAATGAATTATTTATTTTCTTATTCAATTTATTTTCTTACTTCAATTTATTTATTTTCACCAACTGTGAATAGATTTATTTTTAGAGTTGCAAATAGTTTGAGGCTCGCTAAGTGTCTAATATAAATAGTTCCTATTTCGTTTAGTTGATTATCCTGCATTAAGCATTCATCACAAATATGTATTTGTTGTCATTCACAATCATAATCATAGCATAATCAATACTCATTACGACATTCATTCATATTCATATTCATGCAGTATTCCAAGTATCTTTTTATGGGTGCCTTGCACCACGCTCCACGCTATTGATTTTGTTCCAATGTGCAAGTGTTTCGATTCCAAAAATGTTGCAGCCACAGCAACAATAAAAACCAAACAGCGATAAGAATGTTATGGAATGGAGTTGTTATTGATGTTATTGTTGTTGTTGTTTTGGAGCTTTGTGTGTGGCACTGCCGTTAGAATAGAAAGCTTTCGAGTCGCCACTGATAGGCGATAGTTTATTGAGCCATCACATTTGAGCCCAGATTAATGAAGATCGCAAATGCCCCAAGATGTTGGCCCACAGCTGACTCAGCACTTACATTTTTTTTGCAGACTTGTCTGCCTCAGTGAGTCATTGTGGCCCATAAATAGGCACTTGTGGCTGCTGCCCCAAGGTTGAAGCACAATCATGTAGGCCTCATTGTGCAAATGTTGCATATGAGTATGGTTTCTCAAACGATTAAAAGATTTGCCGATTGTCCGCAGTTGTGTGACAGACACTGTGGGCTGCTGCTGCCTGCACTGAGAGAAAACCAGTTGGAATTCTACTAGACTAACAATATCTGTTTCTCTTCTCCAATCTTAATGAACTGTTTACAGTTGATCAGCAGCGTCTGCTAAACTAGAGCTTATATTTCCAATTTGAAGTCTTTAGTTCTTTATGATCTTTAAGATCAGCTTGTTTATATAGATATACTTGCCTTAACTAGAAGAAGAAGCAGCATCCTAGGGTCGCATGTTTTGAATTGCAAAGACATAGAAGACCTGAACCCAACAAAGATCCTCACATTCTTGCGGGAGTTGGGGCTGATGGAAGAGCTATAGGCTCAGAAGGGGGCACAATAGATCAATCAGCTTCCCCCTAATAATAATAATATAGATATACTTTATGCTTCACTCTGCCTGTTGCACACGGTTCTAAAACTTCTCTTGAGCCATTTTCAATTAGCAAAATCCTCAAAGCAGAGCATTAAATTTTTATGAGTTCGTTTAAATCTTCTACTTTCTGATTCTAGGTGGGCTGCAACATGTAGCATGTTTTTTGCTGCGTGTAGTTATAGACGCAGTTTGTTGGACACAATTTATGGGTACATTGACCAATTCGACGTGTGTACAAAAATGCATAAGTGTGTACATACATATGTTGGTTTATGAAAGGCAATCCCGTGGAGCATGCGTATAAAACCACGACTAAATGCAGTTCGCGGAGGCCAGCGGCATTTTGCAGTTATTTTATATGCCTCGTTGCTGTTGTTGTTGCTGGCTTTTCCAGCTAGCAGCAGGTCCGGAACAGGTTCACATGGGCAGACAATTGATTTTTCCTTGCCAATGCAATAAAAACAAAATGGTAAAAAAAAAACACTGTTTTCAACTTTTGGCTGGAACAAGAAACGGCTTTTTTCGCAACGACAACATTGTGGTTGTTGCTGTTGCTGTTGTTGCTGCTGCTGCTGCTGCTGATGTCGTGCTGTTGCCGGTTGTTGTTGCTGTTGTTGTCGTGGTTGCCATGACAAAAGAATGCGGCACTCGCCATCAAGTCTCAGTGCAAAGTCAAAATGTTATCTTAACTACGACCACGATTTGGCCAGACCAAGTCAACTAGACCCCCAACTAGACCCCAGACCCGTACCCGATCAGGCTCGCTTTGCAAATGCCAAGTGCCGTTGCCATTTTGGCTATAAAACCTCAGCAGTTGCCAACCACATCCCCCACTCTGCCTCCCCCCTTTTGGACAAACCCTTGAACATGGTTTCGTGGTAACAGGCGCTTAAACATTGCAATTGGTAACGGCAATGGGAATTTCTGTTGGCCATGCCAAATGGAACGACCTTTTGGCTAAAACAAAACGACCAGACCAGACCAGACAGACAGATAGATGGATGGATAGATGGAGAGAGAGAAAAAGCCAATAAACAACAAAATACTTTTAAGTTTCAACCTGTCTGTCTCTCTATCTCTCTATCTGGCTGTCTGGCTGTCTGTCTAATTTTGGGCTAATTTCAATTTGCAATCCACAGCGTGGATGTGGCAAAGGCGTCCATCCAATTCCAAATCTCTGAGCTGGCAAATGCCAATTGCTTAACACTACAAGTGCCGAGAGTTGTGAGAAAATAAGCTGATGATAAAGAAATATCTAAGATTTCCAGTAAACAAATTGTATCTAGATACAAATCTTATCACAATAAAAAACGGCTAATCTAAATATCTAGCAATAAATCGTATCTCTGTTGCAACATTGTGGTTCAGTTTAAATTTTATGACAAGTAAATAAGATAAAAGTGATAAGATTTGTATCTAGATACTTAGCTGTGCCCAGCTGCAACTGCATCTTAGATTGCACTGCCCATAAAGCATGTAGCTATTTACATAGTTGATAGTTGAGGTATTTATAGGGGAGAGGAAATATATAATTAAGATGAGCAAGTTTTTGAATAGAACAAAAGAAACTTTGAACATGGCAGAATGTATACCTTAGCCAGTAGAAGATGTTGTATGCTGGGGCAACATGTAATCCGCTCTAAAGATATAGCAATCCTAAGCACGACAGATATATCCAAAAAACAGCCTATTCAAATCGATCAGCCTTGGTAAATGTGTATAAATATTTAAAGTATTTGCTGCGATTAGTTTTTTGAACAGCAAAAATTCAATTTTGAATGATATCAGTTTATTTTTGGCTCAAGCACTCGAGACTTGAACTCTTGAGAAAACATTAGTTTGGGCAAAGAAATCCAAGGGTCTTTCGGGTGTTAAATAAAAGTAAAGAAACCGGCAAAAAGAGCGAGAAAGAGAGAGACTGGTGGAGAGTGAAAGAGAGAGCAAATGGTTGCATTGCTGATTGATTAGGCAGAAGTTGTTGTATTACTTTCGAGTGGTGCTGGGTGTGTTGCAGGGACTGCGCCAAGATTGCAACTGCCAATTGCTGGCCATGTGCCAGTTGACTTAATAAAAAACCAAAACCAAAGAAAATAAGGCGAATATCAAAGGAAAAGTCAAAAGCAGGCCGCTGCATTTGGGCATATTGGCAAGTTGCCCGATTTCAGCCAGCCAATTCAATTAGTTTTGGTAATGGAAAAAAAATGGAAAAGTCGAGGTGTGGCCACATCCAATTTGGGAGACAACTCACCTGATGCGCTCCCTGGGACTGGGTGCAGAGCGTTGCATTCGCACGCGAAGCAGACTGTTGAGCTCCTTCATCACGTCGCTGCCCTTGCACTCCAGCTGGGCGAGCAGCTCCGCTTCGGTCTCGGCCTGATCCGCTTCCAGGTCGGCGCCCAACTTGTGCAGATCGGAGCCACTGCGACTGCGCACGGACAGCGTACGATCGATGGAATCCACACTGCTATTCATATCAAAGTCCATCATGAGATCATCGGAGCAGATGGACTCACAGGGCGAGAGCGTGTCCAAGGACTCGGCACTCTCGAGGACAGCTCGTCGCACTGCAGCCGGCGTTCGCAGGCTCAACTCGATGGCCTGCTGTAGGGCTGTGCGTGCCTTGGACTGACTCTTCAGGGATCGCAGTGATCCGGTCTGGGTGTTGTGAGTGTGTGTCTCCATTAGGGTGGGCGTATCGGTGGCAAGATCGGGTGCCTCACTGTTGCACAGCAACGCCGGCTGATCGGCAATCTCGTCATCGATCAGATTGCCATAATCCGAGCCGAGCGAAAGCGAGTGGGAGGCGTGTGTGGGCGTACCGGGGGAATGGGGACTGTGACTGGCCATATCGAGTTCCAGTTCCAGCAACGGCGATATATCATCAATGTCCACCTCATTGTTATCCTTCTGCTGCAACTCCGCATTCAACTTGTGCTTCTTGAGCTTGCCACCCGCCTCCTCGGACTCCATCTCCTCGGTGCTGCTGACCAAGCTGTCTGTTGGCGAGGTCTCGTCATCCAAGAGCAGACAGCTGCTGTTTGCCAGCGCCAATTCGGCAAACTTTGATTCGTTGAGCGCATTGTTGAAGGAGCGGGGACGCTCCAAGGGCAATTGATCGACGACAGCCTCTCGATTGTCCACAATGTGCATGTTGAGCAAGTGTTCCGGATCGGTGGCCACATAGCCGCTGCTGCTGCTGCTGCTCGGCTTTGGTGTCGCTTCCGTCATTGAAGCTGCGTGGAAGAGAGATGAGATTGTAGTTAGAATGGTGCGATAAAATAGGGTTTGCAATTGCAGAGGTTTTGAAAGGACTTCCTGTTTTGGTGAAGAATGGTTTAGTCTAAAGTTGAGTGAGTTATTGTAGACTAGGATCAGTTGCTTTGCGGCGGAATATTTGACTTCATCCTTTTGATAGTTACAAGAAAATTATCTGTTAAATTTTGTTTGAGCTTAGCTCTAAGTCGAGGGTATTCAGTAATATTTGTAGTTCGATCTTCTAACTACTTTGTGATCTTGGCTTTAATATGTTTTATATACCATAATCAATGAATTAATCTATTCGGATAGCTTCCTTAATTACAATTAGTCTTGTTAATTGATCCTCTAGTTCTTTCTAATCAAGATATAATAGTCTAAGCCGAGTCTGTTCGAGTTAGATTGAAGAGATGTCCTCTTGCTGAGAGCAATCTTAGAAAAAGGACGACTTTCTATTCTTCTCTAATCATAGACGAAGAATAACCATATTTAAGTCGGGAGTTGGAGTATACTCCTCACTATCTGCTCCTCCTGTTGCTGTTCTCTCAAAGCTTACGTTTATCCTATAAGTATACCCTTTACTACCTTCATCTCCCACCTCTCTCCACAATTCGCTTCTCTTAAATCTTCCAGCTTTACTTACAAATTGTGCTAAATTGCATTTCCGTGTTGATCAAGCTGATGTCATCCATGCCCAGGGACATGTCCTCCTCCTTGTCCTCCGCTTTGGTAGTCGCTTGAGTGTCGCTGCTGGTGATGCTCATGCTACTGCAATCCTTGGCGGCCAAGGATTCGCCCGCCTGGCAGCGCCAGGACATGGACGACGATTGGCTGTGACTCTGCTGTTTGGCACTCTTCTCGGAGGTGGACGAGTCCAGATACAACTTCTCCTCGTCCACACTCTCGCTATCATCGGAGCCACTGGGCTTGGGTGGAGTCTCCGGTGTTTCCTGATCGTGTCCAGCCGTCGCCTGTCGTCGCTCGTAGCTCTCCCGGCTGAGCACCGTATTGGAACGCACTAATCCCAGCAGCGGCAACTGAGCCGTCTGGCTGTTATCCGTGGGCAACTTGGGCAGCGCCAGTGTCTCCACAAAAGAGTTCGACTCACTGGACAGTGGATCATCCACGTCGCGCACCTCGAATGTATGCCGTCCACTCATCACCATCTGCAGATTCCTCGGGCGACTGCGACTGCGTTTTGAGCTGGACGCACTGCCTCCCGAGCTGCTGCCCGAATCCACAGCCATATCCATGCTGGCAATGCCCGAATCGGCGCTAATCTCCCGACTGCCCGAGAAACCCCGACGTGTCGAATTGTTTGTGATCTGCTTGACGCTCTTCTGATCCAACTGTCGACTGGGTTGCACATGGATCGAGGTCAACGGATGTGGCCTTGCAGCAGTCGGAATATCCTTGGCCCGAGCACCGGTGTTGTTGTGTGCCGGAACTGGCGATTGTACGCTGCTGCTGGGAGTTGTGGGTGTTGTCGCCGTAAGACTAATGGCCACCGGATACTCCGGCCGAGGCAGACTAACCGTTTGCAACGTAAACTTGGCAAAGCTGGCGGGCGCAGCACGCGGCGTGGGACGAACGCTGGAGGAGAAGAACAAGCAGGCAAACAGTTATTAATTAGGTATATATATATATATATATATATATATATATATATATACAGATATGGTATATATAGTATATTCGGAGAGAAATGCTGTTCTAAATTTAAGTACAACTGGAAGAAACTTCTCAAGGCTTCTTTCTTTCCCTGTCAAGTAGAATAGGGTTTCTGGATACTCTTAATTTGAGTCTTCAAGTTTAGATATAGATTGCAGATTAAGTCTAGAGTCTATATTTAGAGTTCCAGAAAAAAGCATTCAATTTTAAGGTATTCTAAATCTTCAATCAATCTTTGAACTTTAACTTTAATCTATTTTCAAACTTTATCTTTAACTTTATTTTACTTTAGGAAGAGATTGAAGATAAAGTTTGGGAATAGATTGAAGATAAAGTTTAGGAATAGATTGAAGATAAAGTTGAAGGATAGATTGAAGATAAAGTTGAAGGACAGATTGGTTTCAAGATAATTTAAGTTTAGATTCTAGACAACAGATCAAGCACTCAAATTTATAATATGCTTAAGCAGATTAACATGAAAGTTATACTTAAAAGAAGTTTGAATGATTTAAGAGCAGTCTTCTCCAATGGATGGGTATATTTTTGTTTTGGTTTACTCACATGACATTCGCATGCATGTTGGCCAGATTGTTGTAGTTGTAGCGGTGTCGGTTGGCAATCGTTGCCGTTGCTGTTGCTGTTGCTGTTGCCGCCGTGTTCGCCTCATCGGCAATCTCGCCAAAGAACTGGCGGCGCTGATACTCGATGGTTGTGTTCTGGTTCAGATTGAACGTCAGCTGCTTTGGCTGCGCTATTTTCGGCTCCCCATCAATTGTGCGACCTGTGTGTGCGCTCTTCGAGCGACGCTTCACTGTACGTGCAGCGAAATGGAGCAGAAAGCAGCGGGGCAGCGGTGGCAGAGGGGCAGAAGTCAGAGTGAGAGATGTCATTGAGAGATGTGTCAAAGAGTTGCTGGCATTTCTTCAATGCCCTTGGGCATAATAAACTTCTGGCAATGTGTGAAAGAGACTTCTACAACCTCATAAAATAAATATGTATGCATTGTTGATTGAATGAATCGAGTTATTATATATATATATATAAATATATATACCACTGTCTGTTTATCTATTCATCTTTTTAGTTGGCACTCGAACTCGCATCGAATCTTGTCTAATCTCAGCAATTATTAGCTTCAATCTGTTCTTAACACTTGAGCAATAATATATTATTATTTATTATTATAGATCTACTATAATTCATAGCTTATATAATAACTATTGCACTTCTTTTCGATGATACAATATAAAGCAGCTATCACATTAACCAGCTAACATTATCTGACCACATTATCTAATAGCTCTCAGAGGTACTTTTGAATACCCTAAGACGTCTAAGACTGCACAGAGTATATATATTTATATTCTTGATCGAGTCGATATATCTATATTCGTCTGTCTATCTGCTTCTAGGCAAGATTGGATTACTAAGTGAGTAAATTCTGTTCCCTTCATGGCTCCCGTTGGGTTACTTTATCTATGACTAAGAGCAAGTAAATAAGATTCTTTGTCTGCAAAGGGTATTTAACCTTCGGCACTCCACATTTAATTGCGTTTTTGTCATTCGCTTTCCGGCTACTTACAATTGCTCACCAGTCCCTGACCAGTTGTTGTGGTGCCATTGTTGCCATTGTTGTTGTTGTTGTTGGGGTTGTTGTTCTGAGCATTTGCTGCCGACTCCTCGGAGTCTTCGCTGCCACTGGTTGTGGTTGTTGTTGTTAGGCTTGTGGATGCGGGGCGTGGCACGAGCGCGCCACGATAGCCAAAACGCTTGCCAGCCGCACCTGTACGATTGTTGCTCGTATTTGTTGTTGTTGTTGTTGTTGTCTTGGTAGCGGCAACGCCCACTTTCTCAAAGTGTATGGGGGGCGCTAGGGAGGAGGAGAGAGAGAAAGAGAAGTGGGAGTGAGGCGTGGGTGTCATTTTGAGTCGTTATTGAAGACAAGGGCAAATTGCCACAAATTAAAAAGCCATAACGATAACCAATTAGAGAGAGCTCCTTTTGCTCCTTGTGTTCCTTTTGCTCCTTGTGCTTTCTTTACTGCTCATAATCATTAGACTTACCCGCATTGCCATTGTCGTCCTTTGTGTCTGTTTGGGTCTTGCCTCCTTCCAGCAGTTTCTTGAACTTTTTGGGCGTACCGTTGAGCTTCTTGCGAAAGCCAAAGGACATCGCTGTGCCTTTGGTATGGAGCTGCTCCTGCTGCTCCCGCTCGGTCAGCTCCTGTGGCGGACCATTGCCATTGTGACGTCGATGCGACTTCCCACCATGCTTCTTGCTCTCCGTCTGACCCTGTGGTTGAGTGGTTGGTTGGTTGGGTAGTTGCAGTAGCGGGTTAGGCAAACGATTAAAATGTGATAGCGAAAAATGGGTCAACAGATGAGCGCACAATGCGATGAGCTGGATGAGCACAAATGAGCCTGAGCCTCACTCGAACAATACAGAACAAATACATGCTGCATAGTGGGTGGTGGGTGCAGTGGGTAGGTGGGTGGGTGGTTATTGGGTGCAGTGTTTATTCATATGCAAATCTAGATATCTACCACAAAAGCATCAAAACTAAAACGAAAAACTACTACAAATACAAATTAGTCAACGCGGCTGCTGCACAAAACTATCCAACAGATACATGTAACTACACTGTGCGAAAAACACACGTTCTTCCTCGAGACAAGTCGGACAAGCAGAAAGCTGGGCCTATTTTGAGGCCCAATTTAGTTTTTGTATTTGATAAGATTTTATTCTTCAATTTGTTGAAGATTTATGTTCATTTTTGTTATTTAATTTTTGTCTTAAATCAAGAAAGTTGTTCTTATTTCAAGCACTTGCTTTGGACTTTATTTTGACTTCCCTTTTTTAATTGTGCTTTTTTGAGTAGATTTAGTTTTTTAATTTATGAAAGATTTGTCTTTAATTCTATGCTAAGCAATCTTTTTCTTAAGTTGATCTTATTTTTAATTAAAGCTCTTTCGTTTATTTATAACTTTTCGGACTTCGTTTTATCTTGGCACAAATTTTTCAGCTTTGACAGCACTGTTTTTTCGTGAAGTTTTTTCTGAATAAATCGAGAATAATCTTTTTTTCAAGAACAGAAATTTCTAATTGATTTCTTCTTGTTTTAAGAGCAATAACAAAAGACAGAAATAAATGGCGACTTGGAACGTAACATTTTCGCACAGTGTACTCTATATAGCAGCATGTGTATCCTTTGTGGCACTATCTTTACCATAATGACTGCCTCAACTTCCGCGTCAACTGCTGCGTCCTCCTCAACTGTGGATCTGTCGCTGTTGTGTTGCTGTTGCTGCTGTTGCTGTTGTTGCTGCTGTTGTTGCTGCTGTTGTTGCTGCTGGTGTTGCTCCTGCGATTGCTTGTGCGATTGTTGCAACTCGTGCTCGATGGCTTCAACTTCGGCTGCGTTGGCCTCCTCGTGTGCGGCTAATGTGACGACGACGAGGTTGTCGCATTCATCCATGTTGCACGTCGGCTGCGTGGAGGCACTCGCTCTGTTCGCGAGTCTCCTCCGTTGACGTATGGGGCAGCGCTATTTGTAATCTGCACGGTCGCCGTTTTGTTGAATGCCACCAAAAAATAATCCGTTGCAATTTGCGATTGTTTCTTCAACTGCGTTGAGTTTAATGCAATTTTCATTACACAGCTGCGCACAAATTACGACATTTAAACTGCGTCTGCTGCCTGCCACTGAATCTGGAGGCAAGCAAATATAGTTATACCTATAGAAAAAGCTCACACACACACACACACTCGAATACACACACACACACTCTGTAATATATATATATATATGTATTGCCACCCACCCAAAGCCGTGAGTACGCCGACTTTTTTGAAGGTCCTTGGAAAAGTATTCGATGCGGAAAATAAATTTCACAATTGCTGCACTATTCAATTGCCACAGCTGCCACACACTGCCTCAAAGTATGCAATTCACTATTCTGATTCGAGTTTTTCTTGCTTTTCTTTTCTTCTGTTTCTTTGGCAAATTTTCTTTTTTATGTTTTGCTTTTGTTGGGAGATTTTTTCACTTGTGAAACATCAGCACACGGAAAATTGAATGCGTTTGCTGAAAATTCTGGCAAGCTGTGGATTGCTCGATTGAGTGTATGCCTTGAGAGTGGCAGCGAACATGCGCACAACCACCAAACGCCGGAACAAGTGTTTTGCCGCAGTTAAAATTGAGGGTGGTTTCCCATGTGGCGCCATCTAGCGTTCGTGTGTGCTTGTGCACAGGGTGTGCTTGGTTTAATAACTAGGTCTGTGCTTGTGAACGGTTTATTAACGGTTTTTTGAAATGGGTGCAGAGGAGACTTAAAGCAAGGAAGTATGCAAAGAAAGGGTGTGCGTGACTAGCAGATACTCTGTATTCAGATTGAATATATTCAGATATACATATATCAAGCAATATAAAGGAAATAAAAGTCAGTTTTAATTCAAACTCTAAGAATTTATGCATTTTATATTCTAAATAATTGAAAGAAATTTATTTTTATCTTTTAAATATGTTACTCAAAAGTATGCATTTTACTTTACAAATCATTCAAAGCATTTATTAAATTTGAAATGTGTTTCTTATTATATGAATTTTATATTCCAGGTTTTTCTGACTATTGCAGAAATTCTATATTTTAGATTCCCAAGTCATGAAAAATCAGAAGTAATTGTAAGTAAAAGTTCTTTCATTCTGAATGATGAATGATTAAATTATTGTGATTTTTTCATAAGGGCAATGATAAGAAAATCCTGAAGCATTTATTCATTTATCTTCATAAAAAATAACCATTAAAATTTCTGAAAAATGTGAAATTTCGCAAAAATTGAAGTTAATTTGTACTAGAGGAACAAACAAAGCTGTGCAAAAAAGTTAAATGGGTGAGTTTGGCAGAGGTTAGTTGATTAGAACATTTCGAAAGGAAAACGAAAGGAATTTTTGGTACCACTTTTTGCACGCAGGCTACTCCTAACTTTATGATGGCTATGATTATTATATGAGATTGGTATTACAGATCGAGTCATAATCGTAAACGAAGGAGGAGCACTCACCTGGAGGAGTTGTTCCTGCTGCTGTTGTTGCTGCTGCTGTTGGAAGTGTTCATTTTCATGTTCATAGTCGGAATCGTTATCGCTGAAGCTATTAATCGGCTGCCAGATGGATGTGTCATGTGTGATGAAGCCACTCCAGTTGCTCTGCTGGCCCTGTGAAGGAGTTACGAGTGGCACTTGATGATACTCGGCCAGTGTCTGGGCAAGTTCCTGCAGCAAAAAGTCCTGGCAAGTGGCAAAAGTGGCTTTGTCGTCGTAGTCGTTGTTGTTATTGATGTTCTTGCTGCTGTTGTTGTTGCCTGTCAACGTATTGCCAATAATATCATCCACATTCACATCCGCATCCACATGGGCATCCAAATGATTATAGACAGACTCAATGTGCAACACAGCAGTTGCTTGCCTCGCCTCCTCGTGCTCCTCTGTGTCTGTGTCTGTGTCCTTTGCGTGGCTGCGGCTTATGTGGTAATAAAATGGCTGCTCTGCTGTTGCGGCTATATATTCATTACTCGCTGTCAGCCGTTGCCATATTTTGTGGGCCTGGGCCAAATCTTGGTGGGACAGCGCCAATGTCAGCACAGATTGATGATGTTCCGCCGCCAAACTGTTGCAGCTACCCAGTGCCGCCGACTGCCGGGACACACACTTGCCCATGGAGGCGTCTCGATGCCGTCTGCATTAGCCGATTTCGATTCGTTTCTACATTTTGATATCCATTTGCAGTTTCCTTATTGCTCTACACCCACCCAGAGATACTTTGCACGTAATCCGCTCCTGACTGCTCGCCTTTGATCTGTTTGTCTGCTGCAGTTGCTCCGCTCGCAGCACTTGCCACACACTTGCCACCCTTGCCACACACTTGCCGGCTGAAAATTAGTTATAAGCGCATGAGTGACTGGCTTATCATATTAGTGTTAGGCGGCTTGACAGCCAATGCAGCATATTGATATGCTGGCAACGTTGCTGACACTGCTGTTAACCGCCAACAGCTGTCTACACTTGCAGAAATTGCGAGGCAGCTAATGAAAGTCAATAAAAGACTAGCACAAATTGCAAAAAGTTTATGGCATAAATAACATAAATAACAAATAATTTACGCTGAACAATATTTAATAGTAATTTGAAGTTTCAATTGGGTTCATTGAAGTCAGATTATTGGTGTCAGATTAGAAATCGCATTTAATTTATAACTATTATCGGAAGCAGTTTGACAACCTGATCAAACCAGAACTGAAACTGCAATCGAAATTCATACATTGAAATCTAGAACTGGCAGCAAAAACAACACACGAATCAGCTGACTTAGATAGATAGATATATAGTGGAATTCATTAAGGGATATTGTGGTGCTTCTGTAGCTGATCTAAAGAACGCCAATGATTTCAGAGATTTTGATAAAGTCAATTAAGATAAGCTTGTAAACAAAATAGAGCACGGATATATCTAAAGTATCTCATAAGAGAACGAATATATCTAAAGCATCTCATAAGAGAACGGGTATATCTAAAGTATCTGATAAGAGAACGGATGTATCTAAAGCATCTCATAAGAGATCGGATATAACGGGCCAAGGACCTTTTCTTCAATGCGTTAAAAACTTTCCCACAACATTATAATATGCTCTAGAAAGGTCTTACGAAGGATATGCTACAATCAGCGATCTGTGTTAAAGCTGAACCCGAAAACAAAACTGGAATCTATACAAAATTTGTTCAAAAAGTGCGGAACACTCTCAAACTGTAATCAATATTGAGCTGCGCTCGATGTTTTTGCCAAATGTGCTGCTGTTTTTCCTTTTTCCTTTTTCTTTTTCTTTTTTCTATTTTCTATTTCCTATTTTTTTGCGTAATGCAAAAAGCGAGCTGCTCTTTGTCGATGCAGAAAGCGAGGCAACACGTTTTTTATTAAATTTTATTAGAGTGGCGCATGCAGCGTGCAGCAAGCAGCAAGCAGCTCCCAGAAGCGCGCCACAAAAACAGCAACAGCACAAAATACACACAGAGAAATACACACACACACACAGAGAGATGGAGAGATTGTGTTAGGGTTAGGGGCATTTGGCAAATGCAAGCAGATGCCTTTGGGAGAACGCATCCTGATCCCGGCTGCTAGCTTTATGGCGCATTTGCCGCATAACAAAATTTACACCCACAACACTCGCTCTATGTGTGTGTGTGTGTCTATTGGTGCTGTTGCAGTTGCACTATTTATGCCTGCTTATGTCGTTTGGCTTACTCACATTTGCCACGCGGCTTTGTGCTGCATAAATTTCAGTGGCACACCCCTTGCATACCCTGCACCCATCACTAAAAACGGGGGCATGCTGCAGTTCTGCGTATTTAGGCAACAGGCTAAAAAAAAGTTGGGCTTAAATATTAAACAGACATTTGTCAAAACTGAACTGAAACTGATTTTAAATAGTTTACAACTTTATGTACATGGTTTCAGTTTTAGATTAATAACAGATTTAATTCTGTGAATACGATTTTAATTTAATTTAATTCCAAAATAACTCGACTGAGAGACTGAGACCAAAAGTCAAATCTTTACTTATCATAAGTCAAACATGTCTTCGATAGTCCAATTAACATATCTTTTTGCATGTCTATATATGATTACCAAGATTATATCATAGTCTTTATATATGTATATATATATATATATACAAGTGAACGTGTCTTTTGTCACCTTTAAAGAGCAGTAAAAAATAAAACAAAACTGGCAAGTTTTGCTTTGGCAGTTTGGTCACGTTTAAAACTTAACTTTGTTTTACTAATATTTCATAGAGTTTGCTTTATGGACTACACTTTGTGCTACTAGAATAATAATAGTGCTACGAGAATAATAATGTTAATAATAAGAATAAGAATATAATAAAATATATTCCACGATTTTTGTTCGATTTAAAATACCATTAAATAAATTTTATCTGAACTTATATTCCAAATTTCAAGTCGCTAACTCTTTTAGTCTCTGAAATCATCTGTCTAAATTGACTTGACTGTTCATGCTGATCAAGAATATATATACTAGAGTCATAGATGATCATTTCATTATACACATTTTATTCATTTAAAGCTTTTCAAAAATCAATTAATTATTAATTGCAAATATCAAATATTTGTTTATTTATTTCTCACATCTCTAACTTTGTCAAAACTGAACCGATTTTGAAAAGCTATACCTTTTTGATCACGTTTAGATCTCTTTATGAGAATAACACATTTTATATTTCAAAAACTCTTTAATTATTGTCGAATATTGACAGTTACTTAGGGCATCTGTTAGTCGTGCATTGTCGTCTCGCTCCGACTTTAGTTGTTTGTGCGCTGCTTTAATGACTGACCCGCTGCACCACTGCATAGCTGATGCACTGCCACACTGCCACGCCCCCTCACCGCCTCACACCGCACCGCCTTTACACATCCCCAACGAGTACGTGTCCCTTTTGTGTTAAGTGCCGCGTTTTTATTTGGTGCGTTCTTCTACTATTCAACATAATGAGGCAATTCTGTTCGCCTCGCAGTGGCAATTGCAACACACACACAGTTGCACAGCGCACACAGTTAGCAGGGTTCGCCAAGTGTTTGCCAGGGTTGTCAGGTTGCCAGGTTTCCAGGTTACAATTTAAGCCATCTTTAATGCGGCCAGTTTGTATGCGAACAAATCCTTTTTGGCTTCGATGCGACGCATATGTAAATTCAGCATTTGAGCAATTATGCGCATAAATAAGCGTTGTAAGCGTCCTGCTTGCAACATGGCTTAATCGACGAGGATGCCACAGATAGCAACAACTGGCTACAAGGACACCTATTTGTCTGTGTGTCTGTCTGTGTGAGTTTGTGGCACGTAGCTTATGCATAAGCATAACAATGCCCATTGCCATTACCATTACGTGGCAAATCGATGTGGCATGCAACAGCTGCACGGCTACAATTGTGGCCCTAAATGAATGCAACGAGTCCGGGCCACAAAGAAAACAACTTAGCTGTTGGCCAACAAAAGTTTTGCGCCAGCCATGATTAAAATACGCGCCCAAAAAATGAATGAGTCGCTGACAGTTTTAATACAAGGCTTCAAAACAAAAGTTTGGCTCCCAACTTTTTGCATTTCGCATTCAAATTGACGCCAAGTCGACATTTATACAGCTCGACTAGGAGATATCCTATTAAATACTGATTATTGTTCAATATGAAAATTGATTTTGTTTAACAAAATTTGTGTTTATCAGCTGATCGTAATGAAAGTTTTACAGTTGATTAATAATATATCTGAGTATATAGTATATTTATTTGAAGAATGTATCTTTAATGATGTATCTTTTACTGCTATCGAAAATCGATGTGTATCGATATATGATATATAACGGGAGCAGTTATCGATATTGAAACTGGATCTGCGCAAGATATACAACCTCTGAGATCAGCTCGAGTCGAGTCCATTTCCTATGCTGATCGAGAATATATATATTTAATGGAGTTCGACATACTTGCAGCTGTTGCACACTTTTGCACCAGTTCATTATACCCGTTGCAAAGATTTGTTTTTAATGTGTTTAGGGTATTGCAATAAAGTTACCGCAACTACAGTAAATACTCATTGGCGCAGAAATGCGCTTAAGGTGCCAAGAAGTTCGGGGTGTCCAACGAGTTGCGTGGTTAAAAGCAATTGCATTTTGGTAATTGGACAAGTCAACGCTTAATTATTGTTGTACACTGCACAAAACGAAAAAGACACAGCCAGACAAACAGTCTGGCTGCACTGCCACAAACACAGTTCAACGTTTAATGGGCGGCAGCAGGGACGGGGCGGGCGAGGGGGCGTGTCGAAAAAAACTTCTGTTTTATTCACGAATGGGACAGGTGATGGGTTGAGCTGGGGGAGGCCAGAAGGTTGGCAAATGCATTTCGATGCCACGCGGAAAATGTGCAAAAATGAGCAATGGCTTTTGTAAACGTTTGTTGTTCTTTTTGCCTTAACTGTTGTTGTTGTTGTTGTTGTTGCTGTTGCTGTTGTTGCTGTTGCTGTTGTCGCTTTTGTTGCACCGAACATGTTGTGGCTGTCATTATACCCTTTATTATCTACTTGTCTGTATAGGGCATATGAAAGCTGTATTTAAATCAATGCTTTTTGACTTGGTTTCAGAGTTGTTTGCTTGAATACGACTTGAAATAGATACTTTAACATAAAGTTTTGGCCAGGAATTGGAATCGAAGCCGTTAATAGAAATTAAGCAATTGAATCTTGAATTTTGCCGAAATTAAACTGATTTGTTGACGGTGAATCCAACTGTAGCCAACACTAAAATAAAGCTTGGCATATAAAACAAATAAATGTTTAGTCAACAAACAAACAGACTCGATTGCTAATACTATAAAAGTCAATATTGATAATCGATAAACGTTTAGTCAGCAAACAGACTCGTTTTACAATTAAATTTCCTGAAAACTATTCAAACTGAGTCTTTAAAAAGATATACAGAAAAGTAAAAGTATTTGCAATTGAATGTCATCTAAAAAAAACAGAACCGGAACCGCAAAATAACCCATTGAAATTCCGGAACTGTCAGCGCAATTTATCTTTGTTTTAGGCACCAATTACAGGAACCGAATGCAATGAGTTCATATAGTAAAGTAGAATGACAAGAATATTGTAGAGCCAAGCTAAGCTGTTCTACACAAAGTGTATCGTAACCGGAACCGAAACCGTACTACGTTCCGGCTTAACACTTAGTTTCACAAAAAGATGCACATACTTCACAGGCTATCTGTGGGTCAGTCAATTTCTCTCACTGCTTGCTTGCAACTTTACATATATATATATACAAAATTCGAGAAATTTAAAAAGCAAAA